TCGAGAAACTGCGCGCACGCGCTCTGGGTCAGGCTAGATCGTAATATTAGTAGTAATAAATTTCATATATGTAATTTGCTGCTTTTATCATATTCAGTTTGGTTGCATTTATTGAGCCATGTTTTGGCCAATACTTTAAACATTGACAAATTCAACTTAGGGTTCCAAATTAAATCTCTAAAGAATCAACGGGGAACTGATAACCCGGGTTAACTTATGTTTTAGCCAGGGAAAATTCCAAAAGGAATAACACAATATGACTTTCAAACGCTCTGTTTTCAAACGCTTATAAATGTGCAATAGTCCGGCGTCCCTGAAGAATGTCCTTGTTGAAAAATCAGTTGAAATGTGTTGTCAATATTGAAACTTGTTTGGCTCATCTGCGATACAAACGATGGCCGGCGCACAACAGCAGTTTTAGCAAATCGCAAAAATTCAAAGAGCTTGTCTATTGCCCCTCAAAATGCTTTCTTTAAAAGATCATGACCTAGGAAACCTTTGCAAAAAATGGGGACTCCGGGTTTTTGCATAAAAAAAACGTTTTTTGCGACAACCCGGGTTATTGCATTTTTTAGTGGAAATTCCAAGGGGGATCATATACATGCATTCACTCATCACGTTTTCATCTTCAGTTCACCTTCACGTCTTCTGCTTGTAAGCATCTGTTCAAGCGCCAAGCAAGCTGGTTTTCATTTGACACATAATCCCAAAAACATTGATGAACATACCTAAAAAATCCAAAAAACAAGTTCCTAGAATTTTCCTAGGAAGGCCTCTTAAAGAATAGGAGACCGTTAAACAACAGTATACATCTTAAAAAATGAAATTGTTTTTTCTTGCCGGCCAAATTGTCCCTTAAAAAATATAGTTTTTTAAAGACATCATGTCCTCAAGTCTTTAGGCTAAATTCCCAGGAGGATTATGCAAATATAATCAAATATATAAAGAACTACAAAGATTTAATCAAATCCACGTTATTAGATCTATTGTTCCTTTTTAGGCCACTCAACCCCTTTTCCAAAATATTCCAAAATAATTAATACGTCAAAAGCACTATACACCCCAAAAACAATTTCCTACAAAAAGGTTTTAAAACGATCTTAAAGAAATTGATTTTACAGAATAAGTAAATTTATGTAAATTTCCTGGGTTGTATAAATATTGTATTTATCTTTTAAATATAACAAATTATTTTATCATAATTTGTAATTCATGTAAATTCCCATTATCAGAACATATCCAAAGTTGCAATTTTCTTATTATATTTTATTGTTTTGTATGCTAAATAATTTGATGTTTTCATCATTCAAATTAATGTCCAGATTGCAATTTTATCTTGGCCAATACCTCAGATACTTCAGACATTTTCCGAAAGTAAGTTTCTATGGTCTGAACTTTAAGACTTCAAGCTCAATGGGATGATTGAATCTGGAAATTAGAAAGTACATGTCCCCAAAATGGCAAGTTCACTGGGGACACTAATTCAATAAGCCATTGGATTTCAGGTGTTTTGACAAAAAAAACAAGAGTAAACAACAGTAAACGTCCCCAATCTTCCGCAAAAAAAAGGATGGTTTACACCTCAAAATCTGGGTCAACTATTGCTTGACGAACATTACTCATCAATTGAGGAGCCGACTCCAACATCTTGCCGTGCACATCCAGCACCAACCTCCAGCTATAGGCTGTGGTGAACCATCGGTAGATCCCCACATTCGTAGTGGAACGTTCTCAACCTCTATCCATGGGAGTTTTTTTTCGTTCACCATTTCACCATCGCAAGCCGCCAATTCTGCGATGGATGCATTTCCAAGCCCATTGTTCGGGGGCAGTTTTGCCTATTTAATGTATATATATATGTATTGTTATATAATTATACATATTATATGTATTATATATATATTATATTGTATATGTCAAATATAAATATTAATATCATTTTTACATATGTATGTATAATTATGTATATAATATATATATATATATATTATTATTTATTTAATTATTTATTTATTTATATATATATAGTATCATTATTATTAGTAGTATTATATTATATCATATGTATATGTATATATATGTATAAGTGATATCAATATTTATGATTTACACATCCACGTATCTATATAAATCATATATATCATACATACAGACCATATTTCTAGACCCACTTGATCCTTTTTGACCTCCGTGGACCCTTGATGGAACCCTGGCCCCGGGCACCGATTCCACGCGCGTGAATCGACCAAGGCAGCTAAGATGGAGCCCTGATGGCTGTACCTGGTGAAAACAAGGTGAATGGGAATGGGATTTAGATGAAATATGGGGATCTAGCCAACACAAATTATGATCTAACCAACAAAAATTAGGACTTAAGCATCAGAAATTGTGACTTAACCACCAAAACTCTCCATTTAACCATCGAAAATGGGGACTTAACCATCACATATGGGGATTTAACAATGAAAAATGGTGGTATAATGGTATATTCACAGGAATATCACTGGACATATTTTTTGGTTGGTTAATATTGACCAATGGGATATGCTACTGCGTGTTAATGGATATTGGTGGGATATTATATATATATAAAATTGAAAATTCCAGTGAGGTACCCTCTGATAAACTAACATAGCGAACCGGAAAATCACAATTTTTCATGGGTAATTTAGCTACAAATGACAGGTTCCATAGCTATGTTAACTAACCAGAGGCTATTTTGTTTGCTTTTGTTAGTGGATTTGACCATTTTTTTTTGGTCATCCTAAATTTTTGTGGTACCCTGCGCAAGCGCGGCTGGTGCCCTGGGGATCCCCCACTCCTGGAAAGTCGATTTGCCAGATGCAATGGCCTGAGAATTTGTCGTTTCCACAGGGATTCGCAGGGATCAATCTGAGGAACACCTGGCGCTTCTCCAGAAAAAATGAAAAAACAATAGCGGGATCATGATCCTAACCTAGGTAGGGTTGAAAATCAACAATATTTGAAACCACTCATCAAATGAACAATGGAAATGAGGTTATCCAAAAATCTGGTGTACCTTCAAATATGATCACTTCGGACCACTCAAAGTTTTTCCCTGAAAACCAACGTTGTTATCCCTTCCCCACATCAAATACCACCCAAACGACCCCCTGGTGTTGTATATTGGGCGATCACAATGGGGGGCCATTACCACCGAAGAAAAATGTGTATCTCAGGGCGCTTCAAGGCCTGGGACTCTGCGAGCTTTGTCAATATCACGTGATCTGGCTATTGTAACTGATCATTCATCAACCTGCAAAGAGGTGATTTTGGGATGATTTCCCTATATCTATTATAATATATATATACATATATTTATTTCCCTTTAAAAACATCATCTATGTAGGTATTCTGTCGCAACGTGACGTCGCAACCACAACGTGGAGCCTCGGCACAAGAAGACGCACTAAGCGCCTGGCCCTCAAATAGAAAATCATACTGTTGCTGGACATCTCATGTGTCCTGGCTGGAGATTGACAAAGAACGCCAGAAATGTTGCCAGAAATCGCCTACTAAAATAGTGATGATTTTCTCTATACCTTTCCATCTTTTCGGGGATTACGGGATCCCACACCCAGACTGACCCAGTCAGTCTGAGAGGTTCTTAATCAACCCCCAAAGATTCAACAGTTTCACTGCTGGAGCACTGCTTATTACCAGCAGTCTTGATTGATGTTGCCCAAAACCCACTGATAAAGGAACATGTTTTCACCATATTTTTCTCCTCCAAATCAAGCTCAACATCACATATTTCTTGGTTTGTACATATTCAACCAGCCAATAATAAGGTTTTATCAGACTCTGCAATATATCCCCTTCTATGGCAAAGTTTAGCTACGAAACTAGCAATGCAAGGTTCCTATCATTCTATGTACCATCCAAATATGTATAGATATGTAAAACAAAAATATATAGACGTATATTATACATCAGATATCTTTGATATATGAAGTAAAATACATATGTCATATATATATATATTATGTATATATGTTATATATGCATTCCCATAGCAATTTTTGCAGCAAGTCCTTGCATCAAAACTGTGCCAGGATCGCTTCATCATCAGGGCGCCGATGCCACCACTGATGGCTCCTCCGAAGAGAAATTGTCCAAGTGCCATCTCTGCCTCGAAAACATGGGTAAAATCACTGTTTTATACATGTAAAATGGTTAAAGAGCTGGGACATTCCCAGCTATGCCTCTGAAAAAATAGAATTATATATATATATTATATATATATATATAGAGTGGAATTTGGAAAGCCATGGTCCAATGGTGGATTTTAGATGGTTAAGTCACGGTTATGTCATGTTATGTCAATCCACAATCCCAAGTCTTGCTGCTTAAACCATGCACCAAATCAGGGTTGCTACACCCCAAATACCAGGGACATCTTGGTACATGTCCCCTGCGGCTATCACTTAGCTGAAATGTGCTGGAACAAACTGGCTGTGGGTCGGGGAACAACCCTGGTAGCCTGTGAACACCAAAGTAGCTGATTTTCATGGATGTGAATTCCCCTAAAAAATGTATGGAAACTCATAGGTCATAGGCTTTGGACCCATTCCCAGGAACTAAACAACACCTGGACACTTCACAGGGACTAAACCGCCATTCCACGGTGGGTTGATATGAATCTGACATTCAACCACCCTGAATAAGGTTTAACTACAAAAAAATGTGATCTTTTTGGAGTACAATCTCGCTGAAATATCATACATAGTCCACCAACCTGACTGAAATGTTTGGCAGATTTGCATGTCAAGCTCAGAACCATAACTTATGGTGATGCTGTAATGGAGTCATTGCAATGAAACTGACTTTCTCTTGGTGATGCTGCAGTAAGGTTATAAGGAAACTGACTTTCCAAATACTTTTTGGAATCAGAACAAGATATGAAACTGGGATCATCATGTAATGTAGGAAATCGTTGCAAATACACCGAGGAACAACTAAGCCTGAAAACTTTGCAGCTATGATCTTCGATTTCAATTGTTTCGCGAAGTTTATCTTCACCTTTCAACAGAACCAACCCCTCCTGCTGACAGCGGGCACCCAAGGATTCTTAGCCGAAGGCGAGAAGTCGCGCTCGAAAGATGTCGAAAGAGAGATGCCCTAACAGCATCCCATTCTCAAGCGGCTGACCGCTTTCAGATGCCTTCAGCCTGCCGAATTCAACCTACAAGAGACACAACCTGCGGTCGCAGGTCAGCGATGTTCGCATTGGAAATGTGACAGTCACGCGAGGAGCAACCTGTACAACTGTCGGACCTCTGTAACTTTACGGCGCTAAAAATTGCTTCAAGCAACACAATTGCATACGGTACAATTACTTTATACCAAATTCTTAAAGTCAACCGCGGCTAAATTGCTGCTTGGATCTGGTGCCTGTGCAACCTCTTTGAGCGCCTCCGCCACATCGCTCCTTTGCAACAAGACTTGCTCCTACACACTGAGTGTAGGCCGTGCCGTTGCAAAAGGAGCTGCTTTGTATTGCACAAACATCGAAAAAAAAGCCACAGCACCTTTCCGTCAGCTCGCAGAAAAGTGCTGCTGGCAGTCATATGATCAATTGCTGCTGTACAAACATGCTTTAAAATCACCTCACGGTAAACAAGAGTGTCCTTAAGTTTCAATTTCACCAAACGGCTTGGTCAAACCGCGTGAAACTCAACCCTGTGAAAATCAGAGACTCACACCTCTACATCCTCTGGTGATGGTTCTGCGACACCACCCTGCTGGATTTGCATAGCCTGGACAGGTCAAAAGTTGAGACCAAGCACTTCATCTTCAGAATCATGGCCTAAAAAAACAAGTTGAAACAATGCAGTAAGACCCTCAGAACAGGGAAAAAGACCGGCATTGGTTCTACCCAATGTAGTAAGACTTCCGACTTGGCCAAGCTACCGAACTGGCTCTTCAAACGGCTATCAACCTACAATCTGGACCGTTCTACAGACTATCTAAACAAGCATGAGTTCAAACTGACGTTGAGAGATGTTCAAAATCCATCAACATCCATTCACTTGTTCAAAATTGCATGTGATATGTTGGAACGTGCTGAAGGTAGAATCCAAGATGAGAGTCGATACTGCAGTATCAAAACCCGCGACGTGATTATATTTTGTTCTGGTTGTTAAGAGCAGGATTCCCATATAGATTAGATAGTCCCCAATATGTAAAATTGTCCTACAATTATCAACCAAGACAGGCTTTCAACACTGCTGCATTCCAAACTGACAGATGGAGAAGGCATGCCGCTCTGAGCGTCTTCCAGACTTCCCATGCTTGATGGCAATTATCAAACCACCTTCCCAGTGTCTAGATTCTGCATCTGGCTAAACATCTCTGATGAAACCAGTCTACAGTCATGGGATATGCCTCAATCAGACGTCTTATCTCTACACATTTTTGGTGATATGCCCCCCCCCCCAAAACCCTCAACCCTAACCAAGGATAACCAAGGCACAGAGGATGGCGCGCAAAAAGCCAAGAGTAGGAAGAGAAATGGAAGGCTCACAACTGCCAGGAGGCTTGCGTCCATCACTGCCACAATACCTTGAACGCAACTGTTTTGATGCTCGATTTTTCTGGATCCTTTGTTTTTGAACAGGAAAAACATGGAGAAACTACAGCAAAACTGAAGATTATTTGGTCCGCAAGAAAATGGCTGTGTCTGGGAATACCTAGCCATCCTCTGGGCTTAGAAAATGCCCTTTGTTCCGAGGCTTGGATGAAGGGGGCCAAACAGCTATCCATCAAATGGGAGGGCCCGTCCCTCCTCAGCAATGCCATCAAGTATTGGAATAAAATAAGGGAATGGGCTGATATTGTACTGTAGGTGGGGAAAAAGTTGACTTACCGTGAAACTAGACGACGGATGGCCCGAGAGCGTAGAGGAGCAGGGTCTTCTCTTGTTAGTATGGAGACACCATATTACAAACAATATATTAAAGATGTGTTATAGGCAGTCGAGAAGAGGAGTATCAAGACAAAATAGCAGAAGTGCAAGACAATAGTTCGAATCGCAAACACTTTTACACACAGAAGCTTTTACACACAGAAGCTTTTGCACACAAAAGCTTTTACACACAGAAGCTTTTACACACAGAAGCTTTTACACACAGACGCTTTTACACAGACGTTTTTACACACAAAGCTTTTACCCACAGACGCTTTTACAGACAGAATCTTTTACACACATACGCTTTTACACAGATGCTTTTACACACATACGCTTTTACACAGATGCTTTTACACACAGACACTTTTGACAAAGAACCTTTTACACACAGGAGCTTTTACACACAGAAGCGTTTACACGCAGACGTTTTTACACACAAAAACTTTTACACACAGAAGCTTTTACACATAGACGCTTTGACACAGAGTCACTTTTATACACAAACACTTTTACATACAAACACTTTTAAACACAAACATGTTTACACACAGACGCTTTTACACGCAGAAGCTTTTACACGCAGACGCTTTTACACACAGAAGCTTTTACACACAAACGCTTTTACACACAGACGGTTTTACACACAAGCGCTTTTACACACAATCACTTTTACATACAGACGCTTTTACACACAGACGCTTTAACACACAGGCCGGCCCATGCTCACGCAGTCACAGTGAAGTCATCGTTGTCGCGATACTGTAGGTACCATTATCAAAAGAAATTGCACATACAATTGCAACTTGAGTTACAACAATGACAAAACTTATTATCGAAGAGCTTGAGCCGGGATCAAGACGAATAGCTCCTGATGCCTTCAACAAATGCAACTGCTCACGCAATAGCTCAGGCAGAACCACAGTGAACAACAACTCCAATCGTCCCAGATGAAAAACACATGGAGCCTGAGTCCGCGACAGATGCAGCACACTCGAACAGCTCTGGTTATGCTGCTACTGTATTTACACACACACTGACACACACTCGCTTTTACACGCACACGCTTTTACACACAGACGCTTGTGCACGCAGACGCTTTTACACGCAGACATAATGTTTTATACACTGACGGCTTTACACACAGACGCTTTTACACACAGAGGCTTTTACACAGACGCTTTTACACACAAAATCTTTTACACACAGAAGCTTTTACACACAGAAGCTTTTACACACAGACGCTTTTACACACAGACGCTATTACACACAGACACTTTTACACACAAACACTTTTACACACAGGTGCTTTTACCCACAGCTAGTTTTACACACAGACGCTTTTACACACAGAAGCTTTTACACAGACGCTTTTACATACAGACACTTTTACACACAGGCGCTTTTACACACAGAAGCTCTTACACACAGAAGCTTTTGCACACAGAGGCTTTTACACACAGAAGAAGCTTTTACACACAGACGCTTTTACACACAGACGCTTTTACACACAGAAGCTTTTACACACAGAAGCTTTTGCACACAGAGGCTTTTACACACAGATAGTTTTACACACAGACGCTTTTACACACAGAAGCTTTTACACAGACGCTTTTACACACAAAAGCTTTTACACACAGACGCTTTTACACACAGAAGCTTTTACACACAGACGCTTTTACACACAGACGCTTTTACACACAGACTCTTTTACACACAGACACTTTTACACACAGGCGCTTTTACACACAGGCGCTTTTACACACAGAAGCTTTTACACACAGAGGCTTTTACACACAGAAGATTGTGCACACAGAGGCTTTTACACAGACGCTTTTTACACAAACGCTTTTACACGCAGACGCTTTTACACACAGACACCTTTACACACAGACGCTTTGACACACAGACACTTTGACACAGAGCACACAAAAGCTTCTAAGCAGACGCTTTTACACAAACGCTTTTACACAGATGCTTTTTACACACAGAAGCTTTGTACACAAAGAAAAAATTGCAATTTTACCTCAATTTTTGGCGATCGACTATCATTTCGTGCGAAAGGGTCGCAACGGGAACCCGGCAATCGCAATTTTACCTCAGTTTTTGGCGATCGAACCTCATTTCGTGCGAAAGGGTTGAGCGGGACGACTTGAACTCGCACTTTTACCTCAGTTTATGACGATCGAACCTCATTTCGTTGCGAAAGGGTTGCGCGGGACCGGTGGAAATCGCAATTTTACCTCAGTTTTTGACGATCGAACCTCATTTCGTGCGAAAGGGCTGCGCCGGACGACTTGCAAATCGCACTTTTACATACTTTTACCTCAGTTTTTGGCGATCGAACCTCATTTCGTGCGAAAGGGTTGCGCGGGACACCTTGAAATCACAATTTTACCTCAGTTTTTGACGATCGAACCTCATTTCGTTGCGAAAGGGTTGCGCGGGACCGGTGGAAATCGCAATTTTACCTCAGTTTTTGGCGATCGAACCTCATTTCGTACGAAAGGGTTGCGTTTCGTGCTGTCTCGTTGGCACTGCCCCTGCTCCCGCCTTCAAAAGAGAAATAGAAAAGAAGGAGAGGGCAAGCGGGCAAGAGGGCAAGAGGGCAAGAGGAGAAGATGTGAGATGAGAAGATGTGAAGATGAGAAGATGTGAGAAGATGTGAGAAGATGTGAGAAGATGTGAGAAGATGTGAGAAGATGTGAGAAGATGTGAGAAGATGAAGATGTAAAGATGAAAAGATGTGAGAAGATGTGAAGATGAGAAGATGTGAAGATGAGAAGATGTGAGAAGATGTGAGAAGATGTGAGAAGATGTGCAGGTGAGAAGGTGAGGAGAAGATGAGACAATGAGGAGAAGATGAGAAGATGAGGAGAAGATGTGAGGATCAGGAGATGTGAAGATGAGAAGATGTGAAGATGAGAAGATGTGAAGATGAGAAGATGAGGAGAAGATGTGAGGATGAGACGATGTGAAGATGAGAAGGTGTTTTACAGACCCCCACTATTAGAAGAACCCTGCGCTCAGACGCTCTCGGGAAAAATGGATTTAAGATGATTTAAGTAGGGAAAAGGGGAGACGGATGGGAAGTGAGGAGTGTGTTGCAGATTACAAATCCACCCATTGTGTTGGTCTAGGACTCCAGAGTTCCATGCCCGTTGTTCAATGGCAATGCGTTGGGCCTGACTCCAGCATTTTCAGACAAACCCTCAATTACAGTATCCACTACAGTAATTGTTGGAGTCCCAATTTGTGATGCTTAGATCCCTTTCTGAATCGGCTATGGGGTAGTTGTCCATTTTCTTGGACAAGCACATGTGAGGTGAGCTCCATCCACCGAAACACCTACGAGATCATCCACCTTGCTGTTCATCAGAGAGTTCCACGCATGCCTTGGCGATCTCTGGATGGACAAATGTCGAGGTAAGAAGCTTTGTTTTATCAATGAATGCCATGTTCTTTCAGGTGGTTGTTTAGGGGAGCCCCAAATTTAGAGAAAGATCCAAGTAAGTGGATTGTACGCGTTCACTGCATCCCAGGAATACAAGAACTACTTGAAAAGGACCCTCCAGAAGCTTTACGGAAAGGAATCAACAACAACCATCCACCCTAACGATCCCTGGAAAAATGCAGATGAACTGGTCCTGGTCCTTTGGGGGTCCCAAACCATCCCAGTTTTTGTGTTCTTTTCCGGCAACCAAAAACTTGAACCACATGGGACCCACATGTGCCATGGTCAAGTTACATGGTATATGGTCATTCCATAATGAGAATCCTCTAATAATATGATGACTAACCCCCAATGTGGGTGTACAATTTCGCTTTTGACCATAGCACATATGAAAAATGTGAATTCAATAATACACACATATATATATATATGTAATATATGTATATCATATTATATAATATTATATCATGAATCATGATGGTTACCCAAACCGATGTCGACAACGAACTGTCCCGCTGATGGGAGTCTGATAACTCGGAATCTATTTGAGTCAACATGGACCACAAAATTCCGATGGCTCCAAACTTACAGCGCCAAACTCCGTATATATTTTCCTGGGGCTTCAAGTTTTCCTCGCCCAGGAGGACTTTCAACAGCACACGCTGGCCCGTGGCCCTGATCGAGGGGCACGAGCAGAAAGGTCAAAACAAAGGCGGCGAGCAAACAAGCTGTGCAGGTCTTCCCAAAGAAGTTGACTGGATCTAGCACCTCAGCTGGCAATGCTGCCCAAGATGATGGCAATGACGATGACGATGACGATGACGATGATGATGATGGTGATGATGATGATGATGATGATGATGGCGATGACGATGACGATGACGATGACAATGACGATGGCGATGCCGATGACGATGATGATGATGATGGTGATGATGACGATGACGATGACGAAGATGATGAAGATTCTTCGATGATTATGATGATGATGTTGATGTTGTTGATGATGATGATGATGATGGCGATGACGATGACGATGACAATGACGATGGCGATGCCGATGACGGTGATGATGATGATGATGATGATGATGGTGATGATGACGATGACGAAGATGACGAAGATAACGATGACGATGAGGATGACGACGATGATGATGATGATGATGATGATGATGACCATGACGATGAGGATGACGATGACGATTAGCCGAGGTGCTTGAGAGACTGCAAGCACCGTGATCGATGCCACTGCCCAGCCAATGCCAATGCCTCGGCTTCGCTCTGTGGTAGGAGCATGCAGTGGATCCAATCATTGTGGGTGTCCATATGCGCTAGGGTCGAAACATATCGAAACTTTGTATGTGGTGGTTTATGATCAGTTATCCCATAATGATGATCATAATGGAAATCCTTAGAATGGGCATATAGATCTAAAATGATCTAAATGGATTGATGACCCTCCAATATGGGTGTACAATCCAACTGTTGTTGGGGTGCGTGCGGAGTCGATGTCCACAATCTCCGGTCCCAGGCTCTGGTGGCGGGTGCCGAAGACTAAAACTACATGAAACTCCAAAACGTGCAAGCATGACGAACGAATTACAAATTGAAGTCAGCCTCCAGCGTGTGCACGATTCTTCCGCAAACGCTTCATGAAAGCGGCATATCTGTTGAAACGATCTGTATTCAAGTCATCCAAAGAAGAAATGTCCATGCAACTGTTGACCATGGCACATATAGTATGTGCAATATAAGGGGATGGGATTGCTCAGTGCTTTCAACATCAAACAGACTTGCCCATAGAGGGGTCACTTATGCAAGCAGTCCTTTGGAATTCCATGGGCCTCCTGGTCAGAAAATGATCTATAGTCACAGTGGCTTGTCCATATCTATGCGAATTTACTGGAGGGTAAATTTTCTACTGCTCTGCACCCCGAAGAATGGAGCCTTCCATTGAAAAGTCAAAAAAACATCGCGCATAGACGGCATAGATATATATTTTTGGATTGTAAAAATCAGGACTACAACACCTCCCAAGTCTCAAGCTCCCAAGACCCCCTTGTACTTGCCGCTTCAAAGATGCAATTTCTGGGGAGTACCCTCTGGTGTCATCAAACATGGCAAGACGGGAAATCCCCCATAAATGGAAGTTCATAGCTGGGAAAATCATGTAGACATGGGGGGATTTTCCAGCACGCCATGTTTGACGACACCGGAGGGTAGATTACATAAATCACTGTAGTTCCTCAAAGGTTCCATGTTGAGGTGCACATTTGATACCCTCACCCAAGCCAGTTTGCGCCGAAGTGCTTCCCAAGGTCACTAGAACGAGGTTTTTACACCACCTGAGAGCTCTTGACAAACACCGTGGCAGTATCATTTTGCTTCTAGTCTAGGCACAGCCTGTCTGCACTATCTTTGGATCTGCTGATAGTCTTCGGGACTGAACTGCTTGAAATATTGAGCTGACATCAAAGATGATGCTTGAAAAGTGAGAACGGAAACTGTCCCACTGTCCCAATTCTACTTCCTTCAATGCGTCCCACAGCGTCTCATGGACCAGCCACTTTTCACGGAGGAACAGGCAGCACAAAAGCGATGAAATCGACCTCATCAAATCCAGTGCAGGATGAAATCGTGCGAAGGAAGGGACTGGAGCCGACATTCTGTTGACCTCCTGATGACAGTAGAATTCTTAGCTGTGTTAGTTGATATTCCCCCAAAATGGTTCAAAATACCTAACCCACTGGAATTTCCTAGCCTTCTTTACCCTTCACCGCTTTCCCAGATGAATTTGTCTGAAAATTGGGCACCCGAAAATCCAGTGGTTTAGAATCAATTTCCCCATTCTTTCATGGCCATGCATTTGATTTATCAGTGGGGTTGTCGAAACATAGGGCCCATCCCCTCACTTGACATAGCCATGACCGAGTTGTGCACCAATCCCTTAAAAATATGCTCGACATCCCAACCAATCATCCCATGGTGAAAGCTCAATGAAACCACCAAGCCAGTACCCCGGGAATATTAGCTATGTTGGGACCAACCTTAAAAAAATACACATGACATCAACGGCCATATAACTGGAACGCAACAATTGGAGCTACCTGCCATATTTTTCAGGTGTATATATATATATATATCAGGCCTAAAATTCAGGGAATATCCTGGAAATTCCCATTGATTACCTTACTGGTGCTTAGTAGGGAATGGGGAATGGGATGATTGTTCACAATAGCTATTACAGATCATTCCCCCATTCCCTACTAAGCACCAGTAAGTTACAGTACCCCAGTTTCAGTCACTGTTTATGACCCAGGCGCATGGTCAGGGTCACAATACAAAGCAGCCGAGTGTGGATCCTCATCGTAAAGAACGATGAAACTGAAGACAAGGGGTTGGTCGGACTAGTCACTGGGGCTATCAAAAACTGTTATAAGTTAAAACCCAGCTGTAAATGGCAAAAAATGCTATAAATCTTTGCTATATATACATGTTGATAAATGGCTACAAATGGCTATAAAATGCTATAGATGCCAATAATAGCTATAATCCAAAACACTTCTTCACCAGGAGTAGCAGTTGGGCGCGACCATCTAATCCTCTAAGTTTCTGGAGCAAAAATGGATGGCATCATCAAGATACAGGGGTGTTTTGAATCCAGAGAATGTAGAGAAACGCCCCAGTTCCAACCATTCTTCACTGCCATAGTGTTTTCATGGCTGCCATGGCTATTTCTGATTCTTTGGGCTTCCGGTTACAGTATAGATTTATGGTCACCACCATTTCCATGGATCTGTTAAAACCCCCAGTCCTACATCTGGATAATCACAATCATTCCCTTACTATCCATTAATCTACTGTGACGTCGCAGTGAGGTCGTTATAATTTGTGATCGACTCCAGCCATACAATATCATATAGAATACTCATCCAATTATGTTCCATCAAATATCATCTGGCAGTTTAACACAGCTATGAAAAATCACCATTAGGAGAGTAGGTGAATCCTCGAATCAAATGGGCCATATGTACCATGGCAAATTGATAAATTCCCCTCAAAGTATCCCTATTGTCCATCAATTATTTACAGTATCATAATCACAGATCCATATATATATATATACACATCCATCCACATATAAATATGTATATCCATGAATAAATATACTGTATATATATATGTATACACATGTGTCCATATGTTCATAAGTCCAAATATAAAATATAATTATATATACATAACAATTAACTATATATATATAATAATTATATATATAATAATTATATATAATAATTATATATATATAATAATTATATATAATAATTATATATAATAATTATATATATATATAATAATTAAATATAATAATTATATATATAATAATTATATATATAATAATTATATATATATATATAATTATATATAATTATATATATATTCATATATCTAAATATTCTATCAATATATGTATATAGTCTATCCATATATATATATATATTATACATTATATAATATTAAATATATTATATTATATACATAAAATCTCCCTCTTGTTGATCGTCGAGTGACTGCACCAGGAGCAGTTCGTCACTGATCCCAAAGAAGGCACCCACCATGAGCGTAGAGACGAAGGAGCAAAAGTAGTTCCAAGGGTACCTGGAAAAAAAAACATCTATAAAATATGGAAAATCATCTTTAAATCATCTATACATATACATTTTATCATTATATCATTGTACAATGGAGCATCATCTATAAATCATCTACACATATGCATGATATAATGGACAATCATCTATAAATCAAATAATAAATCGGCTTATATGATGGGAAAATAGGGCGTGAGACACCCCTGGCTACGGAGTAACGGTAGCACGTATGCTTAATAGCGCTGGTACATTTACCTACATGACTGCATCATTTTTTTTGCGGCACTTGTTTGCAAGTATACAATACATTCAATATATGAATTTGGTTTTCTGTGATCCACTTTCAGGTTTTCTAGTGCAACAATGTGTGGTATTTCGCCATGGGTCCTGTCACGTACCCACCACTGCAAGATCAGCATCAGCATGCAGGCAAAGCTGAGGCCATAATACAGGGCTAATAAAACACCAGGTTGGTCCACCGGCATCACATCAGCGAAGACCGATGAGTTGGTGCGTTCCGTTGGGTCCGTTTTCGCCACTCGCGGGGTGAAGTGCCAGCTCTGACACAACCTGCGGAAACACCGCGACGGACGGAAACACCCAAGAGGACGGACATATCGCGGTACGCATAGGTACAATGATAAACCCCGAACTGAGGTTAATGGTTTGGTATACCAGTCTACCCCCAAGGAAAGATGCATTTGGGATGCAAATCAAACCAAAGGGCGCATTTTACTATTGGGTTTATGACACTACCATCCGCACGCGGGACATTTACCAACATTTGACCCCAGCAGTACCATGGATTGCATGCGATTGCATGGGATGAAGGGTCTGACTCAGGTGTTCGGAAGTCAAAAATAAATGATTTAGGCTTCTGCAACAAGTTCTCGTTTGTAGGACAGTAAGTTCCACAATGCAAAGAACTAACGGGTACACGGGCTCTAAATATATATGCGAAAATAATTTTCAAATAGACCTTCTTGGAGACTTTCAGGTGCTGCCCGCATTGCTACTGTTGGAACCTCAGTTGATCATCATGAATTCACCAAACGGATCTTGTTGTTGCTTTCAAGCCCCAAAAATGTGGAAAAACTTGGGGCTTGGGGATCATCAACACTCAGCTGAGCCAGGCCTATGCGCTGGCAACATCAGAGCCAAACAAAGGAGCAATTGGAAGGCCAGAAGTCCGAACATCTTTACGGCAAAGGCCCTCTGCACCTGGAGCCATACAAGAGGCCAAAACAAATTCCTGTGAAGATCAACCGGTCCGGTGGATGGTATGGATGGTATGGTCTAGGTCACATTATATACGTATAATATCGTATAGTACACGTACAATTGTTTGTTGGTTAAACCCGCATGTGTAAAGACAAACAATATATGTTCTTAAGCGTTTAAATCCAATTTGTTTGATACTAACTAAAGTCATCTTCTTAGGTGATCACCTGCCAGTGGGAAGCTATCTGCATGGTGTCTGGTGAGTATTCTGCATTTCTGGAAACCATGCCCTGACTAACCCCCCTGGAAAGGACCACGCACTCGTCATAAGGAGCGGCGCGACCCCAAAACTAATTTCATCATTCGGAGCTCCCAATCAAAACAGCCCACAATTGCCACAACTATCTACCAGTGGCTCTTTAAGGGGGATACATATAACATGATATGACATGATTGCCAATTTGCACAACCTATGGTTTTATATTGCCGAAAATATTCAGAAATTGATTATATTTCCGCAATCTTGCTGACCATGACGGGCACAAAATAAATCAGGTGATTTCCAACACTCGAGTAAATCCACTAAATTTCCCCTAGAGACGTGTTTGTCCTTTAAAAAATAACTGGGGATTGAGTTCTCGGTCCCCTGTGCTGAAGCAGCAGCAGTACCTGTTGCAATTGAGTTTGTATTCGGTTCTTATTGTGGACAATTCCTAAAGCAATTTAAGAAAAAACATAAGAAAAACGCAATTGCGTCAAGTTCCTGAAAACAGAAACATAGAACATATATGTTTATATACATACATTTGTTTTTTCCTGTTTTTCAAGGATCCAAACCTCTGTGAATAATTCCATAAGCTCAAATCAACCAGACGGCCAAAAGCGCTAGTTTGTTTGTTGTTTTTTGACACTTTCAAAAAAAAACGTGCATTGTTTTTCGCGAATTCGACAAAACCGAATTGAAATGTGCATGTGCATATGAATCTACGTGTACATATGTGTACATGTTTCCTGACGGAACCAGCGAAAAATACAATAAACAAACCCCAGACATATCGCCCATAGGTTTCTGCCAAGGCGAGCTCTGAAAACACATCAATAAAGAACTATTGTTATTTTCCGAATTTGTGTTGGATAATTTTTTTTTGGGGTTGATTCCAAAAGAACTGGGCGAAGCTCCAGCAGTTGTGTGACAAAAACTGACCACTGCCGGACAACATAACTAAGAGACCCGCTTCTAACCCTTACAAGCTATTATGCTAACCTCAAGGAATCCTTGCCTAACCCCAACAAGGGTGGATTTTGCTAACCTCATTTTTTTCTTGACCCTTATAATTTTTTAACCTCAATATTGTGGGTTAGAGAAGTATGATCGTAATGGTAAGGAATTGGCAGTGTAAAGGTTTGAAAAGGAACTCAATATAAGAGTTAGGCGTGCTCGTGAATAATTAATATAATATATATATATATATTACATATAAGAGATATTTATAGAAATATATGAATATATATATATATATGGCTTTCAATATGGCACTTTTTCGGCAATCGTTCTTGGGGGGCAGCTCCAAAAAAATGTTTGGGCAATGTTTGGTGTTTTCTTGGGCGAGTCTCCACATTTTTTGGCAGGTTTTTGGCAGGTGTTTGGGGCATCTTTTCCTGCGGCCAGCTCCAAAACAATAGTTTGTTTAAAAAAGAGCTTACAGTACATGTTTCGTAGTTTTTTCAGCAAACTTTTCAGTAACTATAGTTTTAATAAAACATAAATGCTTCCCAATGTTCTTGGCCATTTGTTTCTCAAAGAAAACATGAAAACAAAAGAAATCTATATTTTTGGCAATTAAGACAACAGTACATTTTCAACATGTCTCTTCCCAGAGCCAGCTCCAAACAAGCATCACAGCAACTCAAGTCTTTCCATTTTTTGCCGCCAATTTTCCCGCGACCAGCCCTCCAAAAAATATAACTTAGAAAAAATAAAACATATATTTTGTCAGTTTTTTGGCCGCCAATTTTCCCGCGACCAGCCCTCCAAAAAAATATAACTTGAAAAAAATAAAACATATATTTTTCAGTTTTTTTGCCGATGATTTTCCCGCAACCATCCCTCCAAAAAATATAAGTTTTAAAAAAATAAAACTTATATTTTGTTCAGTTTTTTTTGCCGCCAATTTTCCCCCGACCAGCCCTCCCAAAAATATAAGTTTAAAAACAATAAACTTATATTGTTTTCAGTTTTTTTTGCCGCCGATTTTCCCGCGACCAGCCCTCCAAAAAATATAAGTTAAAAAAAAAACAAAAACTTATATTTTGTTGATTTTTTTTGCTGCCGATCTTCCCGCGACCAGCCCTCCAAAAAATATAAGTTTAAAAAAAATAAAACTTATATGTTTTTCAGTTTTTTTGCCGCCAATTTTCCCGCGACCAGCCCTCCCAAAAATATAAGTTTAAAAAAAATAAAACTTAGATTTTTTTCAGATTTTTTTGCCGCCGATTTTCCAGCAACCAGCCCTCCAAAAAATATAAGTTTTTAAAAAATAAAACTTATATTTTCTTCAGTTTTTTTTGCCGCCGATTTTCCCGCGACCAGCCCGATTTTCCCGCGACCAGCCCTCCAAAAAATATAAGTTTTAAAAAAATAAAACATATATTTTTTTCAGATTTTTTGCCGCCAATTTTCCCGCGACCAGCCCTCCCAAAAATATAAGTTTAAAAAAAATAAAACATATATTTTTCAGTTTTTTTGGCCGCCGATTCTCCCGCGACCAGCCATCCAAAAAATATAAGTTTTAAAAAAATAAAACGTATATGTTTTCAGTGTTTTTTGCCGCCAATTTTCCCGCGACCAGCCCTCAAAAAAATATAAGTTTTAAAAAAATAAAACTTATATTTTTTTCAGATTTTTTTGCCGCCGATTTTCCCGCGACCAGCCCTCCAAAAAATATAAGTTAAAAAAAAACAAAAACTTATATTTTTTCAGTTTTTTTTGCCGCCGATTTTCCCGCGACCAGCCCTCCAAAAAATATAAGTTTTAAAAAAATAAAACTTATATTTTTTTCAGTTTTTTTTTGCCGCCGATTTTCCAGCGACCAGCCCTCCAAAAAATATAAGTTTAAAAAAAAATAAAACTTATATTTTTTCAGTTTTTTTTGCCGCAGATTTTCCTGCGAGCAGCCTTCCAGGCAAACAATAGTCGGAAAGTTTTAAGTCCTCGGTCGAAAAAATATAATCCCCAAAAAAAATATATCTTTTTTTTAAAAAAAAACTTATAATTTATAATATTTTTTTTGGAGAAACTCATTCACATGAATCAGTTTTTTCGAAGGGAAACCCTACCAAAAACCTAGGTTCAGATGAATGGACATAAAAACTTATATTTTTTAAAACTGGCAGGGAGGGCTGGTCGCGGGAAAATCGGCGGGTAAAAACTGAATAAAATAAGTTTTATTTTTTTAAAACTTATATTTTTTTGAGGGCTGGTCGCGGGAAAATCGGCGGCAAAAAAAACTGAAAAAATGTAAGTTTTATTTTGTTAAAACTTATATTTTTTGGAGGGCTGGTCGCGGGAAAATTGGCGGCAAAAAAACTGAAAAAATATAAGTTTTATTTTTTTTAAACATATTTTTTTTGAGGGCTGGTCGCGGGAAAATCGGCGGCAAAAGAAACTGAAAAAAATCTAAGTTTTATTTTTTTTAAACTTATATTTTTGGGAGGGCTGGTCGCGGGAAAATTGGCGGCCAAAAAACTGACAAAATATATGTTTTTTTTTTTTAATACTTATATTTTTTGGAGGGCTGGTCGCGGGAAAATCGGCGGCAAAAAAATGTGAAAAAATATAAGCAAGTTTTATTTTTTTAAAACTTTTATTTTTTGGAGGGCTGGTCGCGGGAAATCGGCGGCAAAAAAAACTGAAAAAATGTAAGTTTTATTTTGTTAAAACTTATATTTTTTGGAGGGCTGGTCGCGGGAAAATTGGCGGCAAAAAAACTGAAAAATATAAGTTTTATTTTTTAACAACTTATATTTTTGGGAGGGCTGGTCGCGGGAAATCCAGCGGCAAAAAAACTGAAAAAGATATATATATATATGTTTTTTTTTAACTTATATTTTTTGGAGGGCTGGTTGCTGGAAAATCGGCGGAAAAAAATGTGAAAAACATATAAGTTTTATTTTTTAAAAACTTATATTTTTTGGAGGGCTGGTCGCGGGAAAATCGGCGGCAAAAAAAACTGAAAAATATAAGTTTAATTTTGTTAAAACTTATATTTTTTGGAAGGCTGGTCGCGGGAAAATCAGCGGCAAAAAAACTGAAAAAAATATAAGTGAGTTTTATTGTTTTAAAACTTATATTTTTTTGAGGGCTGGTCGCGGGAAAATTGGCGGCAAAAAAACGGAAAAATATATATATATATGTTGTATTTTTTTCAAACTTATATTTTTTGGAGGGCTGGCCGCGGGCAAATCGGTGACAAAAAATGAACAAAATGTATGTTTGTTTGTTTTTTCGGTTGGGAGGGGAGGGCTGGCTGCGGAAAAATCGAACAAATATGTTTATTTTCTTGGACGGCTGGTCGCGGGAAAATCTGCGGCAAAAAAATTGAACAAATATATATATATATATATTATGTATAATATAATATAATGTATATATAAATATATAATATAATATATAATATAATATAATATAATTTATATATATATAATATAGGTCATGGGAAATTGGGCGACATAATACAGCTGTTTTGGTTTGTTTTGCGGAGATCTCACCAGAAAAAGGCACGCAAAAAAACCTGCCAGCATTGTTGCTTTCATTTTTCAAACATTCATATGTTGCTTGGATTTGGGCCCAGAAAACAAGTGCTTAAAAAGCCGCTGAAAATCTGTCCTATGTTGTCTATTTGTTTTCTTTGAGCTGGCCCTGGAAACATCCAAAAAGAAAACGTTTTTGAAAGTTTTAAAATGTAGTGGATTTTGTCCGGAGTGAGCACCAAGAAACAGCTAACAAAACTGTTCAAATAATGTTATTTTGTTTTTCTTTGATTTCTAACGCACACACGCTCGACAACAACATTATGAGTTCCTGAGCCCAACCAGAAAAATGCATGCAATTTTCGCGGAACGGCACATAGGTAAGTATACACAAACCTATATAGATTGTGCGTTATATTTTTTTGAACCTCCCGGCAAAAACAAAAAGAAACGAACATATGTATGTATGTATGCATGCATGTATGTATGTAATGCAATGCAACGCAATGCAATGTAATGTAATGTATGTAAGTACCTATAGTATGTAGAATTCTTATTTCAAAGAACTGGTGTTGATAAATCTCGCCGCCAAAGAGAAACGAGCCAAATATGTATCAGTTGTGTTTTTAATTTTGGTTACCTTCTTGTGACCGGCCAAGTGGAAGAGTTGTGCCAGCAGCGCACAAGCAAGGGCTGATATGCAAAAACCTGTTGGCCTTTGTTTTGTCCATCAGGGCTCTACATTTTGACATGTTGTTCAAAACCGTGCACGGCATGATAATTCCAAAGTGCAGCGATTTGATTCCAATGGTTCATACGAGTTTTCCAATGCTTTAAGTAGTTACCCAGGTTGCTCAAAAATTAAAATATATTTTTTACTATTTCCCCACGAGGGTTGTGCAAATCCACAGACATGATATAACCCCTTATTGGACTGTTTGGTGACCCCCAATCACCAACCACTTAGCATCCCATCCCCGGCCATGGCGCATACAATGGCAGCTTCCCAGGCTGTGAGGGCCATCTCCAAACTGAAAAACCCGAAATCTGAGACTGTCCACCTCAGCTAGGAGATGGTACCCGAGATGGTGCCCCGTCAACGCAATCGGGGTCTAAACCCAACGTTTTCACGGGATCTAAGGTTGATTTATGCTGATTCATAGCTAAGTTGGTGCTGGTGACTGGGTGAACTTGGGTTTATGGTAGATATATCCGCAATTCATGAGGTTTGCCAAGCAACTTATAACTGGTAGGCAAAACCTTGTAAAACTGGCACATTTTACGGTATACTGGGCTTCTTTCCGCGTGATGAGAAACCAAATCAGATAGGTAAACATAGTCAAATTTCTGAAACGTATATAGAAAAAGCAACAAGGAACATACCCCTAAATACTGGATAGATACTGGGGATCTCAATATGTCTTGATTACCAATAGCAGCTAGCAACACATCCCCTATGAATTAGGAGTATAATCCCCGAATAAACCACCATCATTGGGGTTTTCAAGGCTGCACAAGTGATGATGGCACTAAAACTGTAACCCATATGCTCCATGTCTCTGGGCAATAACTATATATATATATATACATACATATACATACATATTCTTGAATCAACCAGGAACACATGTTGGGGTGGTTTCTCCTCGCTCAATTGTCAAGTCTTTCTGTCTGCGCCAGCATTAGGACACCGCATTTCAAGGACAAAAAGGACGGTACCCCCAGTCATAAGTTTGTTTATAAATCCATCTAACTAATTCTGATTACAGGTATAAATGGTATAATATGGTAAACCCCCAAAAAAAACACATCCCCAATATCCTCAGTTAAATTATACAACGGTTTCCATAAAGTATAAACATTAGTATAAACCAAACGAACAACATGTCATTGTTTATGGCATTGGGTCAATCCCACATTGCTCCTACCCATGTTTTCCAAGACACGATTCGCAACTGGCACCGACTCAATGCCTCATGAGAAATGCCCTTTCGGACAACCACCAGAGTTGGTCTACTTGGAATTGCTGCAAATGGCCCAGAACGTATACATATATATATATATATATTGTATATGTATATATATAGATATATAGACATGTATACAGAATTATATATACAGTATATATATATATATACAGAAGGGGCGTTCATGGGGGCCAGGTTTCTGCGCATGGATGTTTGAATATATTTTGGATATCACTCTGAACGCTGAAATCAGAAGGCTGCATCTGAAATCATCGTGCTTTAAAAACGTTGACGAACGGTACCACCATTGTGTTTAATCCAGACACGACTGAAACTGGGTGTTTGTTGGTGGTTCAACCCCCAGGAAATATTCGCTGATGGGGGATCATCCTCCAACTAGGAAGCTTGCTGATGAAGCCATTTTTGGAACATCCCTAATCGCAGAAATGGATCGTAATTACAGTACGTGGTTTACTGCTCTAATTGAATGGATCCTTGATAGATGATTGATCTGGGTAAATTATGATAGACTTCACTATATAACCTGAAATCAGGCTATTTTGGAAGAGTTACCCCAAATCCTAACCCATTGAGATGGATGGATCATAATGTACCCTCCAGTAAATTAATAGTTCGACCCTTGCATTTTTTTGGGTTGGAAGATTAGTTTCTACTACTGGGTTTTTTCCAGGGTCAAACTGTTAAGTTACCAGAGGGTAATTGATTTACTACATCCATCAATGATCCTTCATGATCCATCTTGCTTACTCTAAAAATGGACTCTAAAAATGCATCAATGGATCGTCATCTTACTCTAAAAATGGTTCATTCAATGGCTCATTGAATAGATCATGATGTCAGTTTTCGCTGTTTCCCCCATTGGTCCAGTCACTTCCAGCAGTGGTCACTCGTCCAAGTGGTCCTGGTGTCGGGCCGAGTGCGGACTCCGGAGCCGCCATGGCACTGAAGTGAAGCGAACTCGTGAACTCGAGAAAACTGGTGGCAAGAGATGCATCGTGGCATTGCACTAGAAAAAACATCTGACCAAATTGGGATATAATATATATATATATAATGTATATTTATATATAATATGTAAATATATATATATATATGTATATTTGTTTATGTATAATATATATATATATAATGTGTATATATATATATATCCTATATGTATTTCTTATATGTATTCATTATGTATTGATTATATGTATTTCTTATAGGTATAATATAAGACATAATATATATATATATATATTCATATGTATAACATATATCTACAGAATATGTATATATACATAATGTGTATATATATATTATAATATGTATATATATATATAGATATTACATCTAAAAAACCTGTATATATATATATATATATGTGGTTTAATATTATTTGTAAAATATATATATATAGTAGTACGAGTATTATATATATATAACCATCAGAAATCTGGAGTTAAACAATTGCAATTCACCTGATAAGTATGGAAACATGGTACTTCACCAGAGGAAATATGTTTTTTTTTCACCTGGTTTACCAGTTTAATGTGGATCAGGGGCATTCTTCACCAGGCAATTTGCTTGGATTTACCGCATCAGCAATCGGAGATGCCACGAAGGCATACTGGATACTACGGGTTTGCACGGACATGGTGCTGATATGGCTTAATAATGCTTAATACCCCAATTTATGGCATGTAAACTGAGAAACAGGGCGACATAAATGACGATCAACCAGTGGATTTGAGATGATTTGAGGGATTAGTCCATGATTGGCCCTTGATGGCCATGTAACAAGAGTGAAATCGCCACAATTGGGTGTGTCTGAAAATAGTGTACCCCTAAACCCAATGGTTAATGATCATTATCCCTATTAAATGGCTATAATTGGGAATATACCCTATTTTCAGACAAACCCAATTGTACCTGATTTCAGGGAAATCCACTGGGGTGGTCCGCGGTGGTCAACACTTGCTCCAATGACTAATCTCGGCAAATGATTACCCTGGGGTAAACTAACATAGATGTAGACAATGGCCCGCTTATAGATGATTTACCATTAAACAATGGGGATTTTCCTTTATGTTAGTTTACAGGAGCGTATCATCACCAAGCCTTAGATTCTCTCCCACAGCATGCTGCTGGGATATTTACCAACAAACACCATCATACTATCCCGTATCATACTGTACATCTGAGCAAATGGTTGTACTATCTTGTACTTCCCAAGCCAACAATAAACACAAACAGCTGGGTCTATATAGATCTAACATGATCCAACTAGCACTTCAAGCTAACAGTTTTTTTGTTGGATCTGGTTGCTCTGGTTGCTCCCCTGCAACTTTTCTTCAAACTCGTGCATGTCACAGCTGTGCTGGAAAGAAACCATCCGTCAGAGATGTACAACGTCAAACGCACACACACACATGTTAATTCAAACAAAATGTGATTTTCCGATGATACACATATGGCGTTTCCATTGTCAATTGCCATTCTCGATTGCTACACATGATATATATATATTCTCATCAAATAGAATGTATATACTATATAATATATGAATATATAATATTACCCATATACTAAATTATCAATTATAGTACTTTGCCAAACCGAAATCAGGTAATCTCGGAGGGTTCCCCTTCCTAACCATCTTTGGGACTCAAATCCTGAAATCCAATGCATCCGTGTCATGTGGGTAAAACAATGCCATAAACTACCCTTGAGTGGGAATGGTAAACATACCACCTATAAAAATGGTGATTTGGCAAATTTGGGGGATGGTTGATTATTGTTTTAACCACATTATACAGAATATATGCATAGATATACATAAATAATCATAGAATATAATATATGAACATATGATACTATACACATTATACATGTAGAAAGGAAAACAACATGAGGCTTTGAGAACCAATGATGATTGGCCGTTTTGGCATGAAAACATCCCATTCTTTGGGGACCCACTTTTGATTCATATACACGGGGAATGTGATTACTCCTCCAGTGAACCTCTGTGAAGGGATCACGAAGGGGACAGGTACAGCTTATCCACGTTTGTCAACTTCTTTCCACGCTTAAAGCCACGTATGAGGGTTCTGAATGCTCAGAAACCTGATGACACATTTCGCCTCATTTCTGATCATCCTTCCCCTATGAATTTCTGTTTGATTGTTGTTCACCTCCACTGAACGGCTGCAGAAAAAATATCGGCAAAGCAATCCCCCGTTGCTCTGCAAGGCCAAAAACAAACACTCGAAGCTCGAAACGCCATTGCGTTTCCGGGCGCGCGTTGGCGTCCAACTTCCCAATTTGGTCATTGCGACCAAAAATGTGGGGATCTAGTCCTGCCATAGGGGCCAAGGATGTAGCGTACCCAAAAATCCCTTGGTCGATCATCCTTTTCCACATTGTAATTACAATTGGCTTTGGGTTTGTCCCATGGTTTTCAGGTATCCCAGCGCTCAAGCACAGTGATCCTCGCGGAGTCTTGAGCCCAGCTTAGGCCTGGAGTCAACAAAAAGTTCCAATCCATCTGCCTGAAATAAGTGGTGAAGACACCGCAAAGATGCTCATTATTTACACATTGTCCATATAATATGAGTTCACCGAGGTTCGTAGGTTAGACAGCTCAAAGTCACTTTCAAGGGGGCTCATATTGTTTCATGCGTAAACATTGGGTAACTTGTGTAGTTGAAAACAACTGATGGTGATGATGATGATGATGATGATGATGATCATGGTGATGAACATGGTGATGATGATGATGATGATGATGATGATGATGATGATGATCATGATGATGATCATGGTGATGATGATGACGACGACGACGACGATGATGATGATGATGATTATGATTATGATTATGATTATGATGATGATCATGATGGTGACGACGACGACGACGACGATGATGATGATGACACTGATGATAATGATGATGATGACGACGAGGATGAGGATGAGGATGAGGATGATGATGATGATGATGATGATGATGATGATGATGATGATGATGATGATGATTATGATTATGATGATGATAAACACGGATGATGAAAACGGATGATGATGATGATGATGATGATGATGATGATGATGATGATGATGATGATGATGATGATGATGATGATGATGATGATGATGATGATGATGATGATGATGATGAAAACGGATGATGACGAACACACATGATGATGATGATGATGATGATGATGATGATGATGATGATGATGATGATGATGATGATGATGATGATGATGATGATGATGATGATGATGATGATGATGATGCTGATGATGATGATGCTGCTGATGATGATGATGATGATGATGATGATGGTGATGAAAACGGATGATGATGAAAACGGATGATGCAAACATCCGCCTCTGCCACTGATTGAGAGGCTCAACTTTAAATCGTGGGGGTTCAACCAACAGACTCAACTCGTGAGAGAACCAGCTAGGCTACAGAAACAATTGCTGCGTCTCATCAAAACAGGAACCAGCCAGCGCGCCGGTTAAAGCAACGTTACTTTCTATGGCCATATGGCCATATCTGCGGAAACTCATATGGACCTATGGAGTTGTCTAAAAATATCATACCTCACACTCCATTGCAACAAATGATCATGTTCCATCATGTTCAGACAGGCCCATATGTGGATTCTGCAGGTGAAGCAGGACGCCCTCATCTCTGAACAAATGTGGCCTCAGGCGCTGGGCCAAGAACTCTCACACCAAAAATGCGATATTTTCATCTGAACAGAAGGGTACAAGGTGGTTTGGCATAGCCATGTTGCTGAAAATCATTACAGGAGTACATACAGTATTAGTAAAATAGTAAGAGGTAATTATACGTAAACGTATAGTATAGAAGTAATTAAGGCACATGAACATATGATAATATATAATATATCATATCTATTATAGAAATTGTTCATTCCTTTGCACTGTGATTTTCCTACACTGCAGCGATGCTTGGCGGGAAGGAGCCAGACCCAAGGAACTGAGTTCCTCCCATTTTGGGGGATGGAACCTCAGTCAATCTTCCATTTTTGATAGCACGAACCATGCAAAATCAGCACGCACCTGCCCTGAAGAGTTCATGGTAATCGGAGGCTCTTGGGTGGTGAGAACGAAGCTGTTAGGCTGTATCACTTCATTCATTCCCTGTTGGCAAACAAAAAACATTTCTAATCAGTTCTACGTGGGTCTGCTTGAAAATGGGGGTAGACACCAAGTCCAATGAAGTATCATTCCTTTCCCCATTGAATTGTTTTTTGTTTTATGTTTTTTTTTGGGGGGGTTACCCCAATTTCAGAAAAAAGTTGCAGGTGTTCTGAGGCCGCTGGTACAATATCCGCCCCCCTCCAGGTCCCCAATCAATGGACTGATTTAAGGCAAATTCATGAAAGATCTCCAGGAAAGAATGAGGATTTTGACATGTTTTGACCCCCTGATAAGGTGGCTTTGCAGCCCTAGATGTTCCCTGAAACCGATCAAACCACACCAGTTGCAGTCAAACCATATGTCATAATACTTCATCTTCGAAAATCTGAATTTGTGGAGTGGTATATGTATCCCATATAGATAAATAAATAAATGAATGAATGAATACATAAATAAATAAATAAATTAAACATGTATATATATATATATATATTATATCATATGAATATCCCATATCCCATGTTATCATCTATGATCCCCTTTTTAAACATCCCCAAGTCGTGTCAAGAGGCGACAACTGGGATATGATCCGATGGCTCGTCTTTGTTGGGCATCGCCTCTTTAGGGCACTGCAACAGTGAACCTGGGCCACAGGGCCATGCTACGAGTGGTGAGCGTAAGAAATGATAAATCATGTTTAACACATAGTAGATAGTATAATATAGTGTGTGTGTGTCTAGTATATGTATACACTATATACTATATACTGGATGTTGTATATAGAATACAATCTGCACATATACAATACGTATACAGATGTGTATATATGTATAATAATACAAATATGTATGTGTATATACATATATATATATAGAGATGGATAGATGGATGAATGGATGGATGGATGGATGGATAGATAGATAATACATATATGTATGTGTATATATATATATATTATATTATATATTATACATTATATATATTATACTATATATATATCTACGTTACATACACAATTTTGTATAAATAATGATCTAAATGCATCTGTCAAAGTAAAATAAATGCGCCGAGGAGCGATCAGCAAATAGCGACTGCAGGAACTGTTCGTCATAGAAAATGTAATCCTCAGGAAGGCCCAGTTATAACGTGGTTTATCAAAATCCATCCAACTGTGCCTCTGCTCTTGGAAAACAACAGCGTGGAAGGCAAAAGGAGTGTTTGTTCAAAGATGGAGTGCAACTAAATGTTGGGTTCCGTAATGATAAAATAAGCCACATTTGGGCGGCATTACCATTTTTGGGTGCATCACCAAACTTTAGAATATACACAAAGAACGAGAAAATTGATCCATCAAATGGAGTCAATAGCCCACCCGAATGTCTACTGTAGCCTTCCAGCTGGAGGCCCTAACAATGCTGATGGATAGGATAGGGAACCAGCACCCATACCATCCACGCAGGAATAGTTATCTACGTTCAGCTGCAGCTCAAGTAGGAGCGCTTATGCCATTTACAAACCATTTGCTAAGTTTCAGGGTTCATATCCCAACCCACTCAAGATGGATCTGCCAAGAATGGGGAGTATCAATGGGGAAAATTGTCACGAAGCACCTAGGTTTTTCTATGGTTTTCCAAAAAAAATAGACAGCCCCAACTGGTTAGAAATTGGCTGTCGAATTATGCCTAAAACAGAAGAGAACATCATCCAGATACTAACCATCTTGCTAATCAGACAAAGCCTCACAAGATGTAGAAATCCAACAAAACGCTGATAAAATAATGTTTGCTATTGTAAATGGGTAAAACAACGGATACATCTTGCACATCCTCCATGTTTGGACAAATCCAAATCGTAAATGCATGTATTCAGGTTATTTGTTTTTTGATTTGTTGATGGCTACAGTTGAATCACTGGTTAACTGGCGGTTTGAGCTGGTGGTTAACAATCGTAGGGCATATGAGCATTGTTAAACCCTCTATCGTTCCCCTATAATGCCTGGTTAATAGGGATTCCCATAATGGATGTTGATAATCTTCAATATATTGGCGCTTTGGCGAGTATAATCCCATATAGTTGATCATCAACAGTGGTTTTGAACAGTGCTCCTATATATAATATACATATATATATATGTGAGTATTCCAAAACTGCCCAGCAGTTGGGGCTGGTTTGGCAACAAAATTGTCCAAGATGCAATGGTTTCCAGTCTAGTGCCAGTGCGCGTGGATGAAGATGCCTTGTTTTCATGACTGGCGGATAAACCACCCAGAAGAACATGGGCTGTATAATAGGAGCACATATGTAACATGATATGTCAGGTGTATATATATATAATTATAAATATATTTATAATATACAGTAATATAATACAATATAATACAATATAATATCATACAATACAATACAATATAATATAATATAATATACTATAATATAATATAATATATATATATATATCCACATACATATATATATATATATATACATATATACATATATGTATATATATATATAACTATATACATATATACATAAATATATATATATACATATATATATATATATAGTATAACGTAATATGTACAGTAATATGACATATTGAAGTCGGTGGTATACTAACTCCCATTAAAATCCCATTACAAGGACAAATTTTGCAGGGCCATTGGTACTGGTACTCCACATTTGCCCCGTGCCTACGATTTGACGAATAATGTGCAGCTAGTTGAGCATACTGGGGATTCACTAGTGGTTTCAATCCAAAGGCCGTTCCGAATTGGGATATCAATGGTGATATAACCAAAAGCAGAAGGATATATTCCCATCACACATATTCAACACGCCTGCACCTCCTGAAAACGAAAAAAAAACCTACCTCATATGGCCTCTGGCCGTAGGGAATATTGTTCCAAACCACCCCAGGTTTGGACAATCTAAATGGTCAAAAAATCATCTTAGTGTCAGTTCATAGGGGTCTCAATGGACTGTTTTTCGAAGATTCTCATCTTCCAACGATGGTCTCATCCAATGATGGATTCCCCACTGGCCCATCATCATTTTTGGTGACTTGGTGAGGTGGCCGTTATTTGCTGAGAACGGGGTATGGGAAAACCAGGCCAAGCATATCAAAAGTCAACAATACACAACATCCAATGCTTAAACAAGCTCATCACCTCTGTTCTCTGTTTCAGATGACTGGTTGAGATTTATCGTAGAAATATTGTAGTAATATCCATGCAAATCTTATACTAATGTTGGTTAGTATGTCATGCTGATATCTGATAGCCAAATGCCATCAAATGCTCCTATTGATCTTGGAAGACGGCTATGCAGCTATACACCACCAACTTTCAGGTCATTCTCGTTGGGTGCTCCCTTCCAAAGAATTATCTACACTTGAATCCTTTGGTGTCATTCGAGTATGTATGCCAACCTGCCATCTTGGACGGGGTCTGATATATCATGATATATCTATCCCATTCTCACTGCCATGGAGTTAGTCATTGGTTTGCAAACAGATCATATACCTCTTGAATTTCATGAAAATAATCCAATCCCCCTAATATAACACATGTGCAAATTCCCCACTAGATAAATCATGTTTTTTTTGGGGGATGTCGATATAAAATTATAGGAATGGGTTATTGTATCCAATTATGTTTCGGACTAGTGAAGTCACAACTTACCAATCTCTTGCCCCCAAAATTGAATACCCATATCAAAACCAATCCATTCTTGGTTTGATCCCTCATTATCAAGCAACACTTGTAGATCGTATGATTATACATCTATTGCTTGGCAAAACCAATAAAATATGGTGTTGACTTATTTATTTACTAAGTGGGATGCAGCCACAAATATCCTTGGACCATGGAGTTGACTCCCATTACATAAGATCCATTAATCAGTTGTAAGGGAATATGACCCAGTTTGCTAACCTGAGCCATGAAACATACCTGCCTAATCGCCCGTCCCATTGTGCTGGTAGGGATGAAAAATACAAAAACATCCCATCCCATTGTACTGGTTGGTATCCCAGAGCTGTGTTTTTTTCAAAATCCAAGAAAGCAGTTAGTTTGTTATATATATATAAAATAAAACCCATTAATATAGTTATATATATATATATATAATGACCCCATTCATAATTCATCGAAAAGGAAACTGAGCCATGGCTCGCATATGTTTGGTTTTTACTCTGATTGTCTCACCAAAAAAGTCGCGTTAAATCCAATTATATCACCATTATGTCCCACTATACCATATCTGGTTGGTGGTATACCTAGCTGAAAAATATGAGTTCGTCAGTTGGGATGATGACATTCCCAATAGATGGAAAAATAAAAGCCACGTTCCAAACCACCAACCAGATATATCTCGACTTTTGATGGGTCCATCCCAATTTCAGTTGGTTCAATCCCAATATTTTTGCTGAAATCCCCCAGGTTTCATGAAATAACAGGGTACCCTCTTGTAATTTAACATAGCTATGGAAAATAGACCATTTAGTTCGATGATTTACCTATTAAAGATGGTGATTTTCCATAGCAATGTTAGTTTACCAAAGGGTAAATCCCATTAGATCCCATTAAACCACCATAAAATCCCACTAAATCTCATTAGATACCATTAAATCACCATTAAAATCATTAAAATCTTCAAAGGTTCAGGTCCTGAACGCCACAGCCAGGCTGCTGGGTCGGTATTCACATCATCAAAGGCGTCTCTCAGCAGCAGTTCGGCCCCGTCGCCACGGCGCCAATGGAAGCGTGCGGCCTGACGTTGCGTCTTGGATTTGTAGATATAAATGTCATAGATGTATATTACATAGATGTGTATATGCATGTATATATGATTATGTATATGTATGTATATGTATGTATATGTATGTATATGTCTGTATATGTATGTATATGTATGTATATGTATGTATATGTATGTATATGTATGTATATGTATGTATATGTATGTATATGTATGTATATGTATGTATATGTATGTATATGTATGTATATGTATGTATATGTATGTATATGTATGTATATGTATGTATATGTATGTATGTGTATGTATGTGTATGTACATGTATGTATCTGTATGAATATGTATGTATATATGTATGTATCTGTATGTATATGTATGTATATCTATGTATATATTATGTATATGTTATGTATATGTATGTATATGTAATGTATATACATATATGTTATGTATGTATATGGTATGTACGTATATGTTATGTATGTATATGATATGTATATGTTATGTATGTATATGTTATGTTTGTATATGTTATGTATGTATGTCTGTATACTTGAACTAACAATAATAAGGTATTATCTAGGTATATTATATTATATAATATTATACTATATATATACATATATATATATATATATTATGTATACATACAGCATATATGCACAATCTGGTTCTAAAAAAGGTTGGCTTCCACCCCTATTATTCAAGCGCCGGGAAAGAGAGATCTATCGTCTGGGGTACCCATGATTTCCAGTGATATTCCCATGAATCTTCCATCCAAAACCACCATTTTTCCTGGTGAAAGGCACCTGGGTCTCATCTCGGCAGTGTCCCGTGCCTGAGCCAACATCTTTTTTGTGGTTGATTTTAACACCGAACAAGAAAATTACACACCAGTTGGGACCATCATTGTTAGACCAGGAAACAAATCTTTGAAACCACCAGAATCTCATTGACCCACCAAATTAGATGGTGAAATTTCCGTTAAAGATTGGACAAGATCCACTTGTTGTTCACCTGTGAGCCACATTCTTTTCAGGGACACGACAGACTTGGTATACTGGTATACTTCCCTGGAGATGGACGAATATATAGAAACAACATTGGTGGATGAGTGCTCCGTACTTGGCACTATCAAACCCTGGTATTGCCAGAGTTTCTAATTCAGAAATGGTGGGAACTGTCTCATGCAAAGAATACAACAACCCGGGGCCCCATAGCTAACTAAGTTGGTTTATAACTGAAAGAACCAGGGCTTGTAGATATATCTATAGCAACCCCAAACAAGATAGAACTTATACAGTTTAACATAGCACTAAAATAGTGGTGTATAATTGATGCAACTTGAACCTGTTCCATATGACTTCATGGGCTTTACCAATAAACACAACTGGGGGGCACCAACAAACACCACTTTTTGTCGGGAGATAGTTCGTGGACCATGGCAGTTTCGGCTTGTCTGTGTCTGAACATGGGCTACCCCAAAAGTCATGGTTTTTGATATGACACACTCACAACATGTTCATCGATAAAAATAGTTTGGTTTCCAGGGTAGAGACCAACATATTCATCATTTCATTTCATCGATCAGAAATTCATCTCTAGATATGGTATTGCATATACAATGGATCTGACCATATCACCCTATATCATTTGGATCATATATTTCACGATAGGAGAACGCAACGTAGCGCACGTCCTGATGACGATTTGATTCTCTTCTCAAGTCCCCTGCGGCGCTGGCACCAAGATACCTTCGAAGATGTGTTCCTGTGCAAACCGTGGTTTAATCTCACCCATCATCACCCATCTGACTAGAGATATATGTTCCAGATTCCAGGTATGGAATATCTATCAACATTTAGCCCGAAAATCACTGAAATGTCGGTACAGTAAATATACCATACATGGAGCATCTCACTATAGATATCTCATCCATTATAACAAATATACATATATATATATATTAAATAAAACCCACGATGTGGACCTGGAAAGTACCTGCGGACCTCATGGTTGCCAGCTCTCCTTCTGGCGCCTGAAAATGGGTTATATAAATTTTAAACCCATATTTTCATGTGGTAAACCCAATAATGAATTAACGCATCTAGTAGAGGCAGGAAAACGAATGATTTACCATGATTTTTTTAAGGGTTTCCATCATTTTCAGGGTCCAGGGCAAAAAAAAAACTAACAAGGAGAGTCATGCAAAGGGCGAACCCCCGAACGATAGGTGTCTGTTGGTTGAAAAAACATAAAATAACTACATTAAGTGGGGTGTATTTCATGGATATATCATATACAATAATGGATGATACATATATACAGTATATATATATATATTTATCTCTCTCTCTCTCATTGTATATCTACAGTCAAGTCAACTGGGTGAAATTAGTCCAAATCATAACTGGGGGTGCCTTCCTGTATAGACCCCATCTTCGTCCTCTAGTCCGCTGCGCAGGTTGATATTGAAATCTCCGCAAAGCACCACGGGGCAGTTCCTCAATGAATCCGTGGTGGACATGATTGTAAATCCATGTCTCTTGTGCGATCTTGTGGATGTAAAATGGTTTAAAAAAAAGGTCTAAAATCAAAGTTCCTTTAATCGAATTCTCTCTGAAGCCGACCCCGACAGTTAATATCAGGAAATAGTTGTCTGGCTGAATCAGAAAAATCACTTAGCTGAAAATAGCTAAAACAATGCTATTTGGGGATGATTCCCCAAACCCTAAATAACCATCATTCCAGTGACGTCACGAAGCGACCAGTCCAAGTGTGATCCCCTGTGGTGTTTCTTATACCCCCATTTCAGTTGGTTGCATTCCCAGGTTTAGCAAATACAACAACATCTCCCAATGTCGTGTTTTTGTCTCTCATGTTCATGGAGGGAAATAGATATTAATGTACATGTGTATATATATATATAATATAGGTTATATAATATATAAAATAATGTATATGTATTAAATTTAATATATAATATATAATATATTATAAATAATAAATAATAAATAATATATTATAATATAATAAAAAACATAAAATATATAATAAATAATATATAATAAATAATATATAATAAATAATATAAAACATATATTATATTAAAAATAATAAATAATAAATAATATATTATAATATAGAGTAAAATTTCCGTATATAATAAATAATATACAATATTATATATAATATATAGTATATAATATAAAATATACAAAATATAATATATATATATATATATTTAAAAAAAAAAACATATAATATAATATATGTATATATGTTTTATTATATATTATAAATAATAGTTTTTTTTAAAAAAAAAACATATAACATATAATATATAATATGCAATAAATAATATATAACATATAATATATATATATATATATTGAAATACAAAATATTATATTAAACATACATAATATATTATTACAAAAAATAATATTATAATATAGTATAAAATATATAATACATAGTATATAATATATCGTGTATAATATATAATATATATTTTTTAATATATAATATATAATATTTAAAATATAGTATATAATATCTAATATATAATATATTATAAATAATATTTAATATATTATAAATAATATATAATATATAATTTACAATATATAATATAAAATAAATAATAAATAATATAATATATATATAATACATAGTATCCAAGTCATCTTTGGCCGGGTCGAAGCTGGGCACCAACATCGCCATCTGGTTTGAGGTTGCAGTGTTTCTCTCATTTGGATCGCCTGAGCCCTGAGACATTCTCACAACTTTCAGATGCTTCTGGTTTCCCCCGGAGCTGCCAAAATGGTAGCTCCGCTACCAGTGTGGTTGGCACCACACTGGCAGCTCCCCTTTCCTCCAATCCAGGCACCTCGCGCTCAAGATTCGTTTTCCCTCATGAAGCCAGCAAAAGATCTGGAAATGGTTTCTGCAGCTAGGTATCCAAGTAGGCAACGGATGTTGCAACGTCCAAATCGGCTGTCCTCAGCCTTCGATGGTCGACCACGACCGGAAATGGCACAAGCGCATCCACGACCCACCTCTCCCAAGCTGACCACAGCCGATGCGGCTATTGGAAATATGGACCCTATAGGCCAGGTCCAGGTGGAACATTTCTTCAAGGATTATATGGAATAAACACAAGACTGGGATATTTGTTCAATTCACAGTATATATATATGTAAGTATATATATATATAGGTATGATTATATATGTATAGGTAGATTATACATATATGCTAATCCACTTGCATCTAGGATGTATCCACTTTCAATCTAGGATGTAGGATAGTGTTTATGTCTTCAGATCTCATGCACCCAAAATCATCCAGACATTCCATTTACACAGGCAGGCCAGGGAAAGCCCCAATCACTCTTCTTTTTTCACCAAGCGAAAAAAAGAGCTTCCCCGCTCTTGCTGTCAGATTATGTCAGATTGAGAATGTCGGATTGACATCTTAAGATCTAAGCGCCACCACTGGCCATGTTCAGAAAGCGCTGAACGCTCGGATGATCACGATGAATGGATCCCTCGCCATGAATCCACCTAAGATGCCAACTACAAGAGGTCAGTTGTTGACAATCTAAATCTAAAAATCAAAAACATCTTTCCTGCTAGAAAGTTGAATGCTAGCAAGAAACTGAATCCTTGCCTTTGTTGCCTCCTTGGCACATGTTTTGCTGTTCATTCCTGTCTTCTTCAAAGATGTATATGTTTGACAGTAAACCTCAGTTGCGATTGAAGTCATTTAAAAAATGCGCTCAGATAGAAAAAATGTTCGAAGCTAGTGGTTTGACAGTTTGACCATTTGACATCATATCCAAAAACAAGAAACACTGTGCATCTTCTTTTCCACAGTATCTTTTTCTTTCCTTCCGCCATTGCCACTTGGCTTTGCTCGCGCTTGGCTTTCTTTACGCGTCACGCTGGGCTTTTTTTTCGAGCCGGCTTTGGCTTTGGCACTGGCTGGTTTCTTGGCGATGTCTTTCTTTTTCGGCGCGATCTTTGCTTTGGCTTCGATACCGTCCTTTGATGCCTTTGTTTTGGGAGCTGCTTTGGCTTTTCCCCGAGGTTTTTTCGGTTCCCCCTGGCCAAGATCCATCATCGATTCATCCACGGCGGTTTCATGAGACGTTTGAAAAAGTATGTTTGAAGAATACTAACAGTGACAGCGCTGAGCTAGTTGTTTTATTTTTTCTGAAATGCTAGAAATATAATTCTGGACCCAAGAGAACGGTCACAATGCTTGCCTCAAGGCAAGCACCAGTGGCGTCGTCATCGCCCGCATCATTCCCATCCTCAAGGATAAAGTGCTCTAAACAGAGCAACCAAGAGCCATTGGCTGGGAAACCATTCTGGGGTTGACATAATGATATCAATTCACTTTTGGATGATTTTGGGAAATGCATTAAATAAAAATAATTTGAAGTCCATTTGGCACCACAAATTACCTTTAAAGCCGCCAGTGAGATTGTAAACATTACACACATGAAAGGTAAACATATCACAATACTTTTTTAAAGATCCTAGACGTCTTATAACAAGAACCTTTTTGACATATCCCAAAAACTTCAAGGTAAAAAGTTTATCAGGTGAACATGATTAAGCCATGGTTTTTGCTGTTTGCAAGCCATGGCTCCGAATTGTCGAGGCAGCCCATGTCAGACTCGGACATACGATCAAGTCGGCGAAATTTCACCTTAATTTGCAACAGGTTTGAGGTACTGATAGCATCATTACACAAATCAAAAAGCCATCATGAGGTTTCAGATTGAATCAAATAGCTTTAAGTGATATTTATCGTTTCAGATCAATCATATCACCCCTGGTCACCTCAGATCATGTGAAGTCATCGTCAGGTCATGTGATGGACAATGATGGACGCTTCAGTCTAGCTGCCTGCGGTGAAGGCGAGCGGGAAGGAGTTAGTCCCAGCTGGTTGTCAGGATGATCCCAGGGAACATCAGATACCGAAATCATTGATTGGGTATCCTGTTCATCCAACAGGGTGTCAGCAACGTACTTCTCTTCAGTGTCCATATGCCTAGGTGGAGTCGAAGAGAATGATTTCCAAATATGTCCAACAATAGAATTACTGACAGGGTACATAAGATCCTGGGGAATTCTCGAACTTGGTTGATCCTTCAACTTCTCATTGTCCAAAGCATCTGCATTGGTGGTATCCACCATGTCATCACTCTTCCTGTAACAAGGGGTCAGACTTGTTGTATGTTGGGTGCCGGTAGGGGACCAAAAATATGACATGACTGTACAACAACCCATGAAGCTAACAAACCCAAGCCTGTCAGAAGGGGTCTCAGCTGGCTCACTCTTTTCCGGAGATGGGGGCGGTGGGCTTGGGCTTGGGCCATCCAACACATCTTCATGAACCGGTTCATGATATGGAGAGGGATCCCGATCAGCAGAATAAGGGTCCACACACCCACCCAATTGATAAAGATCACTGACATCAACATCATCTCGGGTGACATCACCATGCTCCGGGGATCCAGTGGGATCCATGGCACCATCTCCGTCTTCTGGTTCTCCCTCGATCTGGGTCTGAAAGGGTAGATCCTGGTGCATGTACAGGTTGAAAGCAAGCAATATCAAATGAAAAAACATGGCGCCAATAACCTAATACAGGATCCGGTTGTTCAAGTTCATCCATGACAGGTCTAGCTAGAATGCAGTGCATACCAAAACCTCTCATAAAACACAACAACATACCACAATATGATGTCTCACTGCAACATATTTTTCATACCAACAAACCCTAGCAGTATCAACATAGACCTCTTACCATAAGATCTTATACAATATCTTGTTGTCAAACACCATGTGTAATAATATAACATCAAAATATAGCATGACATCTCGAATCATATCGACAACATGCCCTGGCCCACTGTGACATGACTGGTGTCCTGCTCATCATCATCACCTAGGGTTTTTTTCTTGGCCGGTCTCTTGAAAGAACCCTTGGCGGCCGGTTTCTTCTCAACTTTCTTTCCCTTTTTGCCATCTTTCAAATCAAGGATCTCCGAAAGACCTGAAAGTTCATCGTCATCATTATCACCATGGTTCTCATCATCATCCTCATCCTTGCCACCCCTGCCAAGTGGGGCAAGTGTTTCTTCCCCTTCATCATCCTCCTCCTCATCCTTCTTTTTCTTTTGTGTCTTTCGTTTTTTCTCTTTCTTATCTGTGCTCTTTTCTCGTTTCTTCTTGTCTGTGTTCTTTCCGTGTTTCTTTGTGTCTTTCTTGGTCTTGGGATCGTTCTCCTCACCGGTGGGGGCGGATGATTCTTCTGAAGAATTCACCCTGGGCGGCAAAGAATCCGCAGAGGCAACAGCTACTTTCGGAGCAGCTTTGCCTCAGATTAAAGACTGTCCCAACATGTCCCAACCTAATAAAAGATTAATACCTTGACTGATACCTTGACCCAGCATGTCCCAACCTATTGCTCTTGCAGGCGTGGTGCTGGATGCAGATCTTCTCGAAGGTGCAGATGTTCCCGAAGGCGCGGATGAACTCGTTACACGTCGGGGTGCGGCTGATGATGGCGGCCGGCTCTCTGACGGGACTGGGGTGGCATGTCCCAGCAGAGATTGAAGATTGAAAGCCTTAGATCATACAAGTGGGATTGAGTGAGAAGCCCCCTGTTCAGCAATCAATTCATTGCAAATTTTAAAAGTTAGAATTGACACTAATAAGATCTAAGAAGTACTATCAAAATTTGAATAAGCCAGGAAACAGGTGCTTGGAAAGGCTGTCTTGCTGGAGAGACAATATGAACATCATCATCGCTGACATCCCTTTCCGCCATCATCAGAGTGAGTCAGATCTCTAGGGCCAAAAGTCTAAAGGTGATACACACCACAATTAGTTCAACCATGGTCAAACTGTTTTAACAAATGGATTTGTGAGCACGTCATCATTAATTATCACTGAAACCTTCAAAACCAAAACCACAGGTGAACATGTGAGATCATGTGAGAATCATATGATTTTTTTCTTCTCATCGTCACCTGCCCGCTCCAGGTGTCTATCTCTCACTGCGTTGCCACAGGACTGGTAAGCTGAGATTAGGCACCAGAAGCTGCAACCTCTTTCGGTTCAATGGCAAAGACTTGAACAACACACAACTTTTGATTATGATTATGAATTATATAAATGATAAGAGACTGGCTACTAGTATGTTATGATAATTAATAGTATGTTATGATAAGAGATTGGCTACTGGTGCTGATACCCCCAAAATGATACAAAACTCCAGGTTTTCCCGGGCATGGTGGAACCAATCATCACGCAACTGGATTGGTCATATCAAATCTTGTTGTAAATTTTACTTGGGTATACTTGGGTCATCTTTAAGGTTTCCAAGTTTCCCCATGGGTCTCCTTTGTATTGGATGGATCTGATTAGCAACAAGGTAGTGAAAAACTTAGATCGAAAATGGTTCCCCAAGAAATGGTTCCACATCATCACGCTACAGAGAACGACAGAGAAACAGGATATCAACCGGTCCCAGTTCAGAATATCTTGATGATACCTTCATTGACGTCCAAGATCCCTGCCATACACGCAATAGGACGCACAGGGGTCAAAGATTTTGCCCCTTCTCCACTGCCTTCCAACCTTGGTATATCATAGGGTTCCTATGGGGTTCCTATGATTCCTCAATTGTGTTCTATCATAGGGTCACTAGTCTTTTTATGTGATGATCTGGGGCACTCATGGATTTCAGATATAATATGATCAAATTGTGGTGAGAATGGTGCTCTTCATTATCATGTGTCCAACAAAAAAGGTAGTACCAGTACCAATGAACAATGGTTTGCTAACACCAGTTAATGATGATAATATAACATTATTGAATGTTGGTGGTCTCATGTCTCATGCTACTTTGCAACAAAGCTTAATTAATCCAGGAAAACTCATCCTCCATCCAATGATGAACCGGGGACATGACTTCATCTTGTTGACACACAGCCGGGCCCCAAAGTTTTTGAAGGTAGGCCCATCAGGTTTCTTGTGCTTACGCTTTTTCTTCTTGCCGTCAGGAGCATCTTCCTTTGGAGGGTCCATGACAAAGACCAGGGGCTTCTCAGCGGTGATGACAGGACCATCGGCGATAGAGTGATGGGAAAGCTTCACTTTGACCTTGCCGGGTAGGCAAACAGATGATATGGAACAGTGAGATATGGTAAGATATGATAAAGTAGTACATTATTTCATATTAATTCAATCATCAACGTTTTCACCAGATACAAGAGACAAGCGACATGCCATAGCTTAGCCTGGGTACCATGGTCATGGTAGTATGTGTCAAAATATGGATGTGTTTGCATTTTTTTATGTACTAGTTTAATGGATGTGCTTGGGAAATCACTGGCCTCCCCAACATCTTCAAGATCCATAAGCAGAGCTTGGAGTGTCATTGGGGTTTCAATGCTAGGCAGTTGCTTCAGGTGATCAGGAAGCCCCTGCTTTTCCAAGCAAACAATGGTCTCAGCTGTAGCGGAGAATGGATACCACCTGCCATGTACGTCACCCATCAGATCTTTGGCTTCCTGGGCTTGAGAGTCAGTGGGTATCAAGTACCGATTCAGATTCAACATGTTGGCTTTTGATGATTATGGCTATGGCAAGTTCCGTCATCATTGCTTTGGTGACCCTTGAATATTCCAGTTGCAAAATGATGTGTAATACGACTAGGTACTGGAAAAAATAGAAAATAAAAAAGAAATATGTTTACACTTACACAGGGTCCATAGAAGCACGGCAGAAACCAGAAACATGGGAAAACCTGAAAGATTATGAAACAATGTATTTATCAGCCGGTCATATCAAAAGGATTGCCGTAAGTTTCCCAAGTGTCCGCATTCTCACGCCACTCGCCACTTCCAAAGGAGAATCTGGGTGGCCCATGCCATGGGTATCCATGGAGGAGAATCTGGGTGGGCCCATGCCATGGGTATCCAGAATGGGGTTATCCAATACATGACTAGAAAATAATAAATAGATGATAAATGGTCAGGTGTAACAAATAGATGATAAATAGCAAAGCCACCCCAACCCATTGTTTGAAAGACAAGAGGCAACTCACGCAACTGCAAGAACTGAGTAGTTTGGCGGCACACTAGGTACAGAACATCGCCGTCCCCATTGGTGATCAGTTCCGAGACATTGGTGATTGCAAACTTCTGCCTCAGCACAATGGGTCCCCATCGAAAATTGGAAAGTGATGGATAAACACTTGCAATGAATGAATATTAGTCAGCTAATAGATGCCCAACTTCATTGGGTTTTCAATTATTCCCAAAGAGTGGATGAAACTTAGGGTCAGTAATGACTATCAACTATTAGATCTACTAGGAATTTGAAGGGATCATGATGATCATGATATGACTGATTGACCACTGATCGGCTTTGTTCAGTTTGGTATGGTATTAGTCCAAGGATCGGGTTCTTCAGGGATGAAACATCGGTTTCAGTGACCATATCCGTGGGTTCAATCTTGATTCGCTTGGCAGGAGGCTCTGATGCACTTGGCTCGGGAGTCCTCTGGAAGAAGGACCGACACTGGTAAGGTCCATCATGGTGGATTTCCCAAAACTAAAAAAAGAACAAACAGACCCAGTTTTGTAAACCCAGGTCCTCATATCATCTTCCCAAAAATTTCCACCCTGATTGAACACCTTGTTGTGATCTTCGATGGCTTGAGTTGCCTCATCCTTTGTGACATCGGAGTCCATGAACTTAGCCGCGTAGCTCTGGAGCACCAAAAGCCTGTCACCTTTCTGGGTGCACACCTGGTAGTTCCTGTTCTCACGAGGGTTGGATCCTTGCTTGATGGCAGATATCAGCGAATCAAACTGAGGGAAGCCAGAAATTTGAAGGGACCCAGTGCGGCTGTCATTGTAAATTTTCTCTGCAATGCGCTTTTCAATCTGCTGTTCCCCAAACTGGTCAAGACAAATGGTCCCACATAGAACACGGCTCTCTTCAGCACATGCCTGACAATGAGAGGATATCTAAAACAAACAAATAGTCATTTTGATTTCTTAAACCCACCCACATAAGGATGGACGAAGGGTCACTCCATTTTTCAGTAAGGGAAATTTAACAACAGAACATAACCCATCATAACCCCAAAGATTCTTCAAAAGATGTTAATCTAATCAGTGGTGTATCTCCACAAACCCAGGGTAGGCATCACAAACTCCATAGACTTACATGGGCTTATCATGCCTCTAGAGCCGCAATTGCAGGAAAGCCGTCATACCCATGGATGTCCACAAGGACCGTGGTTGCAACACTGGCCGGGAGGAATGCTTGGAGACTCTTGTGGATGATGGATGTGCCACCAGCCGCCTGGATGTGATTGGGGTGAATTCATATTTCCATGAACCATGGGGATCATAGATCATGTCAAAATGTAGCAGGTCATGGTGTCATAGAGCTTATGTACATGCTTTGAAGATATGTATTTGATGATGTCAAAATATCAAACAACCAGCAGTGATTTTGGGCCTGCTTCAATTCTTGGACATCCGTGAATGCACGTCCAAGATTGGGCAGCTTTGTCATGACCTTCAGGGACGTCCCGGAATGAAAATAAATTCATTAAATTTTATCAAAAATAAATTCATCAAAATTCAATTCACATTGTTATTTCCTGGGCAACCATTGTTAACAGTTAACTGGTAACCACCACCCAAAAATGTGTTTGGGGTTTCTCATCACCCTGGAACCTCCGGCTTCCACATGCTGGCCCGCCCCAACATTTCCACGTCGTGGATGGTGCCCGTTTTCCAGCCACGGGTGCCCCGGAAGATGCTGTTCTTGGGCATCTCTCGGGAGACAACTGCAAGGCCATGCATAAATCCATCTCTTTTTCCATACACCGATGCCTTGGAACAAAATAAGATAAAATAAGACCAGGGTATAGCAATAATAATCATCGCCATAAAATAAGACCAGGTATAGCAATAATAATCATCGCCATAAAATAAGACCAGGGTATACCAATAATAATCATCGCCATAAAATAAGACCAGGGTATACCAATAATAATCATCACCATAAAATAAGATCAGGGTATAGCAATGATAATCATCGCCATAAAATAAGATCAGGGTATAGCAATGATAATCGTTGCCAAAAATAAGATCATGGTATACCAATGATAATTGTTGCCAAAAATAAGATCAGGGTATGCCAACGATATTTGTAGCTGGAACATCACAAAGTAAGTTGACTTACATTTGGCTTACCTGATATATGTATATATTGTTTTCAATTATTTTGAACTATGCGGTTTTTTGACATTATATGAAGGCGACCCCCAAATTGCTAATCTATGTTTAGATCATCATGGTTTATCGTGGTAAAAAGGTATAATGGTATGCATGATTACACATGAATGTTCATTCACCAATTCCACTACATGACACCCACAGCTATGAGACAAGATACAGGGCTGAAGATCCATGAGATGTTCCTGACAGCCAAGTTCCGCTCCTTCTGACTCAAGTCTTTCCTTGGGGCAGGAAACATGGATTTTCCAAATTGAAAACCTCTACGGACAGGAAAATGGTAGGCGGAGACCTGTATTTGAATCAGCTAGTTGCTGGTAAGCATGAATCTGACCTAGGTACCCCAATGCCCCAGGTAACTGTCATGGCCATTAAAAAAACAAGTCTCTCAAGCTTGTATCGCACATCTCTGATGTCAGCATCTTCAACACCAGTTCTCTCATCATCAGATTAATCATCAGAGGAGTCCGGGTCATCCTTGGTTTCCCTCTTCAAATCAGGCTTTTCATCTTTGACATCAGTCCTCAGGGGGAAGAATGATATATTCATAAGTTGAACGATGGTTGAACAATGTTCCATGTAACATGCCATATGCCCATCCTGGGGAAAGATCCACTTAGTAAAAAGCTATTGTTTGGGGAAGACACCAAATTCCATTGGCCCATGGGTACCCTTTTGAATCCTAAGTCCTGCTATTCTTGTCATTGGGGCTGCTTTTGACTTGCGATGCACGGTTGGAATGAACGATGATCACCATTCCATTTTTTCGATGCTGCCCCAACAGGTTGCAAATGAAATTCAAGAACCAATCCCATTTCTGGGCTCCCACCACCCCTGCGGTCGGTAGCACCAACCAGCCAATGATGGCATGATCATCCGCTGCACGGACAGCCGATATCTCCGACAAAGAGGTGGTAATCCATCCATTGACCAATGGCATCAAGGTGTTTTCAGCCATGTCCACTTTGCCTGCAAACACCTTTAAGTTCGCTTCCATATAGTCAGTGACACAGCGCCATGCTTTGTTGTGGCAATCCTTCCGTCATGAGAAATGAAAACATAAAAGGTGCCCATCACATGGATATGTTCATTGTTTTAAATACATTGTTTGAATCACTTCAACAATCTTCCTCACCCTACATATTATGAGTATATTAAATGTACCATATACCCTACATATTATGAATATATTAAATGTACCATATCATCTTATTTCAAATCATTTGACGATCGTATTTTCCAGATGAGTATGCCATACAGAATCATTATATGATTTTTCTCATTGAAATTATTTGGTGATGGGATAGTACATGACCCCTACACCACCAGCCGGATCCTCCAGCTGTTTCACCAGCAAAGACCTCTTCTTCGCATTCTCCCGCTCACACCTGGATACCGTGGCAGGAGCTGGATATGGCAACCCTACTCAATATCATCAAGGCCACCGGATTTGGGATTGAACTTGGGTCACACGGTTTTACAATACTTAGATTCACTACCTAGAGCACTGTGATGAAAAAAAATGAGATGGAATTCAATGGAATTCAATGGATTTCTTCTTCAATCAAGATGCAAGATTTTCTCTGACTGGAATGCCACTTGGTCTGAGCGCAATTGCTCGTTCCACGCTTTGAATGCTGCGGTGAGGCTGGAAGCAAGAGCATTCCTGGTCCGGTCCTGAGCCTCAGCAATGAAATTGTCAACGGTCTCACCGCGCACCTGCGCTGTGGGATGGGATGACAAGCTGGGGTGTAGTATGGTGTAATCATGGGGGCATGTCTAGAATATGGTTGATGCAATGTGTATAGATAGGCTGATGTTATGAGAGAATCACAGAAATCAACTCTTATAGTTCAAGAATTCCCCAAGCCCTGATAAATTCATGTAAAGTACCCCAGGCGGGGCCTCAAGAACGAAGTTGATGCGATCCCATTGGAATTCTTCCCCAGCTTTGAGTACGGTGGCCAAATCCTGATCGAGAAGCCTCAGTTGCACCCGGTGACGATGATCCATACTATATTCAGGACTTCTAGACATTTATCTTTTCAATCTTTTTCAAAAATTTCAGTTCGGATATTCCGATTTCAAAAAACCAATCAAGTCAGATGCTTGGAGCTGTTAAGGCAATTTGTGACGGGGTTTCCAGAATACCAATCACAATGTGTGCTATATGGAATGGTTCAATCAAATCCCCAACATTGTGAAAGAAAAAATGGTGAGATCAAACCCTCCGTTTACCACCAAATCATGATCGGTTTTCCCAATACCACATCATTTTTTTGGAGTTGGAGTCATGAGTTGTATGTGATTGATTTGGCTGGGTTTGGCTGGAGCCAAATCAAATCTTGAAATTGTGACGGGGTTTTCAGAAAACCAATCAAACATTTGGGTTTCAATTTGGCGCCGGCCAACCAATCAAACTTTGGGGTTTCGATTTGGCGCCAGCCAACCAATCAAACTTTGGGGTTTCCATTTGGCGCCAGCCAACCAATCAAACTTTGGGGTTTCCATTTGGCGCCAGCCAACCAATCAAACTTTTGGGGTTCCATGTGGTACCGGTCAACCCATCAAACTTTGGGGGTTCCATGTGGATCCATTTGGCTTTTACAACACACCCAGAATCAAATTACCAAATGAAATTTGGCCACCACTAGCCAAGTGTTTTAATCTAAATTTTTCCCAGGTAAAACGTATCCTAGGTAAAATTGAATCCCACAAAATATCTTGTTATTACCAAGAAACCCCTTGGCAAAAAGATCTTCGTGTTTTTGGATCGTAGTGCCAGGAAATTCCATCTTCAATTTCGGAAGTAACCACATCCACATGCAACACACATCATGCAGTAGTGCATGATCTTCGTCGGAGAGCATCGAATTTTTCTGGGCAAAGAGGGGGGGGACAGGGCACATGCAGGGTAAGATGGTGGAAACCTGAGATGGTCATTATAAAAGTTGAAATATTGTGAATCATTTTAGATCTGGCCTTGAGCTTGGTGGTTGCATCTTTCGGTGCTTTTCGGGCAAAGTCCTGGATCAATTGGGATGGTTTTGGGATGTGATGGGAGATCCATATGGCATTATTCCAATGAGTTATGTGCAATAAAGTTGATATAATTTTAATTTATCTAAAGGGTCCTCCGTGGCACGTTTTGCATAGAGGATGCAAGTCAGATCGCCCGGCACAAGAATTTCCCGCCAAAATCTTGAGTTGTGGTACTTGGGAAGGTCAGCCCTTGTGGTGGTTCCCGGAACCCAATAGTCACAAGCCAGCACTTCCAAAGGCATACCTGGGCTTGGGAAAAAATATGGAAAATTGGGGATCATGGTTTATCAAGTTCGATGCTAAGAGCCGTGCTTTAAAAGATATTGTACTGAAAACAACAGTACCAAATGATTAGAAACATCATCATCATGATCATCATCATCATCATCAACATTATTATGCATCATTATGCATCAACACCATTCAAATCATAATCATCACCCAGTATCATCACACATGCCAAACCAAAAGTGACCAAGAAACCACAAGCAGTGTGAGCATAATTGTCATAATGGGCAGCGATGATGTCATGGAACTCGGGTGGTGCTCTCAACCTAAGTTTCATGAAAGGTTGGCCAAGGCCGGTTATTTTCGATTTCAGGGTCTTGACAAGTCCATCATATTTGATACAAGAAACATGTTGTAGCAAATGCTTTTTTCGGCCCATCAATTCGATGACGCTTCAAAGTAACCATGCGGTTGTAGTCCGCCGTTGTTTTCTGCAAGAGATCTTTCAAAGCACGGCTGGAAGAAGTCTTTGTGGCAATCCGACGTTCCACATCGATAGCAGCACGTATGCTTGCCAAGAAGTCAATTGCACTGGGTGATTGCTTTTCCGAAGTAACGTGCCCAATTTCTTAGATGATCGATGGCAATTAGGCATGATTGCAAGATATTGCAAGTAAGCTAGTAAACATATTAGGAAACTTATACTTGGCTAATGATCGGATATTCAATCCTGACCAAGTAGTGTTTAAAGCACAATCATACCATGTTGAAAAAACACATAGGTTCTTCATTGGTTATATCCAAGACTCTCAAAGCATGCAGGTAGTAATGGGACGGGGATTGAAAGTAGGTGAAACTGCATCTCACCCAACGGAATGACGCCAAGGTCGTGGGAAGAAAAGCTTCGATGAGCTGCTCTGCTGTCAAGTCCTCATATTTGGGCAATGGAAGGGAATTTTAAAAAAATCAAGGTTGATGGTGCTGTGACTGATTGCCAGGGACGATAAGATTAATTGCTCTAAGGGACAAGCTCAGAAATGATGACGGTGATCCCAATCATTAGCATAGTCTTGAGAAATCCATCCACAATCCCAACACTGAAGTCTGCAATGGTTCTGCATGACTTTGCCTTTGGAAATGTGATCTCCACGCTTCCCGCACTACTCCGGTATCCGGTCAGGAACTCCCGAAAATGTGCTCGAAATTGAGCATTCGATGGATAGACTGCAGGGATGAAAAAGACAAATTGAAATCTATGTATGGGTATTTTGACAAGGTGGCAACCATCTACTTTGAAATACCTTACATCATGAAACACACATAAAATCATAAACATTTGGTGACATGTTCATATGCTATCATGGGCTTGGCAACCCCCGGCATCCAGCTTTTGCATTCTTGGAGTAGTCAAACTTGTAGAGTGGAAGCCAGCATTCAGCAACATTCCCCTGGGGTACCATCGAGAGAACATGCATCTCCGCAGGTGGCTGATGGGCGTCCCATTGAATGTGATGGTTCAGCACCTTCCAGGGCAAACCACAAACCCCCCAACACCCGAGATTCTTGGTCCTCCTTCGACCTCCCAAGCCTGCTTGAGGTTGGCCGGGTCAGGGTACTTCTTGAAGATGTACTCTCCAAAGTTCTGCTCTGAGACGACCTGAGTCAGGGGATGGCACAGGTGTAGTGGGTGGATGATGGGGTTTAGGAGAACCACCATGGATAACTGGAGTTTAGATTTGTCACAATTGCTGCAAAATTAGAAAGCTATGGAAGCTGGGGTTTGGGCTTGTTCAAAGAATGCACAGATCTTCGCAATGACTGCGTTCTCTTCAAACTCCATGGTTCACGACCGTGTTGGAACCAATTGAGATCTCATCAAAAAAAGGCTGCAATCAAACACAAAATCAGGAACTCAAATGAATAAGTTTTTGAAATCTCATGTGGTGATTTGCACAGTGTATCATGGTGAGATGTGTAAAGCAATCATGATTGATTGGTCACTGTCACTTTCACCCAACATTTTTTGCCAGCTTCAACCCCCACTGGCATCTCAGGCTGAGATTCAACGACGGTGGAACACCACTTGGAGACAGTGAGGACGTGGGGGAGGGGCACGTGCACCCAACTGTACATTTGCAATCCTTTGAGATGCATTGGGGCCCGACTCCACAAAACCAAGTTTGTAATAAGGCTGCCTCAACCTGGATGAATCCACCAAAGTCTTGTAGTAATTTGCCCCCCTTCGGAGGTGAGGAAAATCCTTTTCGATTGCCCTTCGTAACGTTTCCAGTTCCTCTACCCTCTCAGGATCCAAGCTCTGTTGTACTACATGCCGAGTAGTATTGATCTTGTTAAAGAAGGATTCCGTAACAGTCAAGAATGAACTTGGCCAAACATTCAAGGGTTCCTGAATCAACACACTGTCTGACATTTGCATCTTGACCATTGCATAGACGTCATTCGCCTCTCCAGCTTGTCGTAATCGTCGGGGAACCGGATTGTTCACCACAACATTCCCAGGCATGACTGGCAGGCGGTTTAAGGGGGTTAAGGTATGTTACAGGCATTAAGGGAAAACAATGAGTACTCAAAGATACTAGGACGTTTTGATATGTTTTTCTGATATGAACACAACAAGCTGCTGAAAACAATGGCCTTCTCGTCGCATGAAGGTGAAAGATTGTGGAACCTTTTTTCTCTCTTCCACCTGTTCCTCATCACCCTCATCGCCAGATTCCTGGCCCCCTTGTCCTTTCTGTGGTTTTCGATCTCGATACGCGTTTTTGAGTGTTGCCACCGGAGGCATCAACAGATGCAAGTTTCTTACCTAAGATGATCACAGTTTTTGATCAACCCGACCCACAAATACCCCAGCCGCCAGCCCCAGTAGTGCTTAAAAAGATGCAGTGTCGATCATCTCACAGCGGAACTCCATGTCATACTTCTGAAAGACAGGGGCAACTTTTTGGTGCAGAATCCTGCATGTAAGGATGTTTTTTATTTACTATGTTTTTAAGTCATGTTGGATTTCAGTGAGGAGACCCACATGTATCAATTTCAAAATCAGTCGCATTGCAGTCCTGATGACATCTCTTGGGGTTTCGATGATGGATTGTCCAGCTAGGGCCGAGGTCACCAATGCCATTGCCCCATCTTAGAACCAAGAAGAACCAAGAGAATCGGAATGAAAACATCGGAATAAAAACAAACAAACATCTTAAAGTGCTCAAGATAAATGCCAGTTGACATGTACTCTTGCACATTGAACATCACTGAACAGTTTCAAACTAAACAAAGCCTAGTAGCCCACGTCTTCGTGGGTATGACCCACTCCGAGGTGATGGTGACCAATGGAGGTGAAGAAATTGGCACCACAAAGTAGTGATGCCAATTTACCAGTAAACGAATTACGCAGTTCTTTTACGGTATTATCTCCTTGCCACCACAACCTTAAGTAGAAAGTCAAAAGGAATCTGATGTAGAGGTATGTCACTGGAAATGAGATGTAACATCATGCAACATCTACATTCTGAGTTAAGCCAAGTAAACATAAATAAGGATGGGGCTCAGCCGGAAAGGGTTCTCCACGGGTTCTCGCACGTTTCCATGAGTAGTCGATACTCCGCAGTGCCTAGGACAGATCCACAATGTTTTCTTAAACCCAAGTTTTTGTTTTTAATATTTTCCAATGCTACTTGCTATCACCCCCTATGACCCTTTGATAAAGATGCAACCCAGATTCACATTCAAGAATCCAATTGGCCCCTGCGGGCATGCCTTCCTCACAAAGGAACATGTAAACTCCATACCCATGGCAGATGCAAGTCGTCAACGTCAGTGTAGTACCTCAGTGAAGTCAAGTAAGACGGGATGGGGGGGGGACGGTTAAAAAACATAAGGAAAATAGGTGGCATAAAATATGGAGGCAAAGTCTTAAAACAAAGGAATCATGAGTCCAGGTACGACGGATGGTCTCATAAACTTGTGCTTTGGGTGTTCTTTTTTGTGGGAAGGATGGTAGACAAATTTTTGCCTTATCGTAGCTGTCAATTATACAGCATAGGATGTCCTTCACACTCCGGCTCCTTTGACGACACATCCAATAAACCTCCCGATCCCGCCACTGCGACGTGTAGTGGGCTAACAATTCATCAGTGTACTTGAGGTGCAAGGTGATGTCCTTAGGTGGGTTTTGATGGGTTATGGCCATACAATCCCGTACAAAGCACATCACCCTCACACACTAGTCTGTAAAGATGTCTATATATAAACCATTGCTAACACATTTCATTCAAGTTTCTTTGGCGTTTTCAATCTTTGCTCTCAACTCTGCACACGTCTTGCAGATTTGATGAGTACATTTTTTGTGAAACTTGAGACAGCCTCGCCATTCTTCTGATGCAGAGTAGAAAAGGGTTCTACCAGCTGGTGTTTCATTCATGGTTCTGCAAAATGCAACGTACATCAAGTACAAGTTGGCCCACGACTGGTGGGGCAATGAACGCATTGCAAGCTTAGATGGTTCTGCGTTCAAGGCCAACTGGCTTGATGGTCCCATAAGTCGTTGGTCCACCAGTTTTTGAAGCATATCCTCTCTAAGTTGCCTGTCGGACGTCTCAAGCAAAGATCCCGATGCAATCCTTACATTGCAGACCAAAACCATTCAGTTGTAACTGTTGATGTTGGTCTTGACAAACCATTCTTGTGTTACCTGCCCCCCACTCTAGCTAAGCCAACCAAGTTGCGATGTAGTAACGCATTCAGCTGCAGACCAGTAGAGATGCATAAAAAACCCTTTGATCGAAGCTCGCTTGACAGCTGGGCGGGGAGCAGGTCCTGAGCAGACCGGCAAGGGGAGAAAAATAATTTAGGCAATGTGAAAAAAATTGGGCGACTTGGCTTTTGGATATATTTTGAATTTAAATTCACTGAGTCTATTTTGAATATAACCAAGAATCCACCTCCACAGGTCAAAGATCTCTTGTCCAAACCATTGTAGGTTCTTTTGCAACGTAACAATCGGTCATTGCCAACGCCTAGAAAACGGAGCCAGGCCTCCTTGCACATTGGATGTCCTGATGTCATGTGAAAACAGACCCAGACCCATTTTGATGTAATGTTGTCCATGCAAAAATCAGCAATAACACCCCCCCAAAAAGTCCTTCTAGAAACCATCGTCTACGACGTTGCTTGCATTCTGATTGTATGCTCCACAGGCAAGCGTCCTGTGCTGCCTTTGGAAGTTTCCAGAAATAGGAACAAACCCTAAAGAGATCATTTGCAGGCATGCTGCAGCCACAGTCACATACACCTTCACGGAGAACGGATCGTATCCGTTGCATGTCCACCCCCTGCTGTGCGAAAGTGGACATTTCATCATCCCCCAGTGATGCTAGGGAATGCATGGCCTCCAATCGTGACACAGTCAAGGATACCTGGCCAACCTTGGGTTTCTCCTCCTCTGAGGGTGCATCCTCTGAGCTAGAAGTTTCCTCACCCCCAGATTCTGTTGTCGTCTCCGTCCTTGGTTTTTAACATGTTTAAAGTTGATCATAAGTCTTGAAAAGAAAAAATACATTGTATTGTTTGATACTGTATGATACCATAAGGTTTTTGTTGTTGCTGTTGTTGCAGCTATGTGTCTCTGACGAAGTATCATATCGACGGCGGTGATTGGTGCACACAGCACCATTGCAGGACTCACCATCCGAATCCCACCGTGGTGGAAGAGGCATGGGCGGCTGGGCATGGGCTATGTGTGGTGATTATTGGAAATTCCACATGCAGCATCAAGAACAACATTTTCAATGGCTTTTTCTGAGCAAATCTAACATTCTAAATTCTCGTCCTATGAGTCACCATCATATATTGATTTTAGATAGAAATAAATTCTCCTGTATGGATATTCTCCTGCTTGGAATCTAAGAAAGAATGGTAAACTAGCAGGTCACGGCAAATATGATGAATATGACGACCATGCATGCACATGATACACAAACAATCACACTGCACACCAAATGCTTCACAGCCACATCACATGATGTATTGGTTCTAATCTCTTTTCATCTAAGTGCGATGTTTATGGTTCCAATGCACCATTGAATTGAAAGATCTGAGTCTAACTCTAATTGCAGTACAAACATTGCACATCTCATGACAAATTAGCCACTCTTGTGGGGTCAGTGACACTTATGGCCGCGCAAATCACGGCAGTGATTGCTCGGACAGCCATTGAATTGCCAGCAAGCCCATGAAGTTCCTTAGATGTTAGATGTTGTTTGTGAATTCCCATCTTTAAATTCCAAACAAAATGATTTACATACACATGATATGCCATTCCATCACCACACCACCTGGAATTAAGCTGCATACCAAGAAACTTTGGAGGTGTTCTTGGACAAATCCAACCGGTGAATCGGACATCCCATCAGAAGAAGAGCTTCTTCTCCAAGTAGATATCGTCCATGGTGAGTAGACATAAAGGTACCATTCGGCCTTGGAAAAAGGACATATATGGGAGATATGATATATTTGTTTTGTAAAAGGTAGTAACAGGATGTAAGAGGGTTAAACAAAATGTTCCACACTTTTTGGATCTTATTGGCATACATCATTTGAAAAAGATTCACATACTGGAATGATTCATGAGACTAAGCCATGTACGTCAGTACCATCAAGTTCTTGTCAAGGGAGCTGCAGGGCATACAGCCCAAATTCTGGGAGGTGTTCACCACGAAACCAGAAGGATACTTCCCACTCGATGTAAGGAGGTCCAATGCCTGCCAAAAACATTGAGATAGATCAAATCAAAACATCCAAATTGATGTAAGATTATGACGATGTAATATGATGTAGCAAAAATTATCAAAATGTACCAACCACATATCCTGGTACCCAGCCGCCTCCATCTCCCTGAAGGTGGTTACCACCTCTGCAGCCTGCGGCCATCGCTTTGCAAAGGCGCCACGGGATGCGGTAACACTCACCTGTGGATGGGGAATCTGATGGCAGGGCTTCAGAACGAATCCAACTTACTGTCATCAATAGATGGGCCTTGTTTTCTTTTGCCCATTTGCGATGTCTTTTGATCCACTTGGCATTCTTGTCAACCTTCCTCAGAGTACATTGGTTGAAATTAATTTGAAATGAGATGTCGATCTGCACATGGACATGGGATGCATTGAAATTACCATGTTAATTCGAACTTGGGTCCCGGGTGCGGTCAAGATTCTTGGCCGCCTGGCGCTCCCGCTTCAGGATCCGTGCCTGTCGATCTTCCTGAACTGAACCGAATGAATTGGAGAACATCAGGTCTTTCCTGGGCTGAAGACACAAGAAACATGTCATACCATGATATGTTGTTTGTTGGACTCTAAGCATGTCATCACTCTATGTCACATGTAAAAGAAAAGTCAGCATATATGACGAGATTCCAATCATATTTGCATGGCATATTTAGCCCACATACACGTTCAGCAATGAGACGTGTGAAGCGTTCAATTGGCTCTGCATCATCTAGGATTTCCAGGGTTTCATCTGAAAGAACATCATGCCGAATCATCACCATGTAAAGACGACGACGGTCAATAGGAGCACCAAACTTTGCAGGATTCACGATGATATTGGCTATCCAATACCTTGGATGGCATTTCACATAAATGTTGAATGTATTTGAATGTCATTTCTGTCATATCATGCATCATTTTTTCAACATACGTTTCATATAATGTGTTCAAGTCACTCCGGGAGATTCCTTTCAATGACTTTCACCACCGGTTCCAGCACCTGCTGAAAGGGAACGACGTTCTCAAAGATGATCATCTCAGTGGATCTGGGAAAAGTTAGGGAAAGGACATGTATGGGAATCACAATCACGAAATATTACAGTCACTATCTTACATACTACATAACTATTATATAACTATTACACAACTAATAACTATTACATAACTTACAAAACATAATGTTCAAAACGGTTCAGGTCAAAGGCATTTCTTTGCAAACATGAGTTTTAGCTTAGGCGCGGCTGGCTGCATAGTCTTACCATTTGAAATGCATCGGAAAAGTTGCCGGGAGTTGTTGTCGGCCAATCGCTGCTGTTGGCCCAATGCTGAGAATGGAGTACATGGGAATCCAGCGCAATATAGGGTCACCTCCAGGGAAATATAGGTAGCAATCTTGGCTAATTGAGAACATTCAAATTCTGTGATTGTTGATGCTTGTTTGTGGACCAAGCCTGGTTCTTTAGACGTTTCAGTCTTCTGGTGTACTTCTTGCTAAAGATGTCACCGGGTTTCCTAAGATGTGTGGCTTGGAAATTGTAAATCATTGATGGGGATGATGAACCCTCATACATAAACCTTATGGTGCAGCCAGAAAGCATCTCGCATGGAAAGTTGGCATCCAGAAAACGAATAGCGGCTGGTTTGATTTCACTGCTAGACCTAAGGGGCTGGACATATCCTGGGGCTGGACATATTGGGTACACGATAAATAAGAACAAATCACTGTGATACATGAAGCTGAATGGTAAGAACCCGGCTTGTAGTGGATACACCCCTCACTGCCACGTGCTGCAAACAACATCTGGAGGCCCATCAAAGGAGTCTCCATCCCAGAGCCTAGGAAAATGAAAAAGTCAAAAATGCCAAACTATGGCTAAAGTTAGAAGCCAACTGTGAGAAACAAACCCCAGGACCCCCCAGCATTGCGGACAAGAAGCAGTCACTAGAGTAGTTAAATGGACGGGAACCCCATTGGCGAAACCATGGTTCCAGCTTGGCCTTCTTCACAAAGTCCACACCACACTCGCTATACTCCATTTGAGAAGGGGTCAGGTCTAAAGGTTCATCATCCGATGATGAAGATGAAGATGAAGATGAAGATGATTCATCCCAGCGCATCTTCATGGCGCCACAAGGTTGAAAACACTATGATGCTGGTTTGCTTTTGAAAGGTTACTTGTTCATGGGGTTCTTGGTTTAGATTACTTGCGGTTTCCACATATTCCAAAGACTTGATATATCATGATTGAAATCTCATCATTACTCATGATTGATATATCAAATGAAGGCATATGCCACATAGAAGCCAGAAAGCATCTTGAACCCTTCCAGCTGCAAGACCTGGAAGCCAACTGGATCACACCTGGTTGCAACTGAACTTGCATATATATAATCAACATATATATATATATATAATTATGTATAATATATATATATATGGATCTCCCAAGAATGAGCATTTTCAAAACTACTGATCTTATTTTAATCCCTGGTAGTCCTACGCTCATCAATCAAATTGCTTGAATGATGGAACTAAAAACACAATAAAAGCCCTGCAAGGATCTGTTTCTTCTATTCTTCCCCAATTTTTTCATAGTCAAACCTCCATTTTCGATACTCAAATCTTGGTCAAATCACATTATTTCTCACAAAATCCACCATTTGTGCTGTGAATTTCTGCACAGCTTCACTTCTGCCTGGCTTTCCAAGATTTGGCGAATTGTCTGGAGCTCCTTCGGGCATCTCACGAAACAAAATGGTGATTTCACCAGCAAAAAGTGGGGGTTTATCCACGGTGTTTAGCTATCAGTAATTGAAATTTACCTATCAAACAAATTGGAGTTGACTATGAAACATTGGAATCTAACGAGCCAACATGTGTACTGAACACGCACACAGAAACTTGCTGATATATCATATACAACTTGCTGCAAGCATCTCTATCTATATATATATATCATTTGCATTTAACCAGCCCATTCATGAAGAACAACAGCGGGGCCTGAAATTATGTCCTTTTGGCGGCAGTTGTGCGAAGCCAGGTGAGCATAGTATTTCCCTATTTGCCATTGATCACCGGGTTATTCAATGGTTACCCTTCCAATGACGGAACAAATTAGGAAAGGACATCTATGAGTACCACGCCCCGCAACGGAATCCGAATGGAATCTCGGAAGTCTAAAACTTTGCTGCTGGCTTGCAAATCAGCGTTAAGTTTAAAGATATGTTAAGATTAATTGGGTATAACTAGGTTGCTACTGGACTGGAAAACTAGGTACGCATCTAGGTGGTGTGACCTGTAACCAAAGCTTCCCGACTAGGTTTGCGAATGGCCAACTTCGTCGAGGGTGTGGGTCAGAACCCGAGTTTATTCGCGCCGAAGAATAGCAACCATAGCTGGTTGCTGTTTGATTGGGCATGTATCACTTTGGTAGCAAAAAAAATCACTGCTTGGGTAACCCCCTCAAACAGGGATAAAAAAAAAGATGCAGCCCACGAACCCCAATGCAGTCACGTAGAACACTTTTGTAAAACACGTTATTGGAACAGTCTTGTACATTTTTCCCCTGTTACCGTACCAGTGCACTGTAGACCGTGGGATCCGGAAGACGGTGGAGTGCAAAGTGTGGAGGTTGGAGTGTAAAGTCTGGAGTGTGGAGTGTAGAGTGTAAACTGTGGCGTGTGGAGTGTGGAGTGTAAAGAGGAGAGTGCAGAGTGTAAAGTGTAAAGTGTGGAGTGTAGAGTGTGGAGTTTAATGTGTGGAGTGTGGAGTGTAAAGTGTAGAGTGTGGAGTGCAGAGTGTAAAGTCGAGAGTGTAAAGTGTAAAGTGTGAAGTGTAGAGTGTGGAGTGTAGAGTGTGGAGTGTAAAGTGTAGAGTGTAAAGTGCAAAGTGTTAAGATGTGTTAAGCGTAAAGTGTGGAGTGTAAAGTGTAGAGTGCGGAGTGCGGAGTGTAAAGTGTGGAGTGTAGAGTGTGGAGTGTAATGTGTGGAGTGTGGAGTATAAAGTGTAAATTGTAGAGTGTGGAGTGCAGTGTGTAAAGTCGAGAGTGTAAAGTGTAAAGTGTGAAGTGTGGAGTGTAGAGTGTGGACTGTAAAGTGTGGAGTGTAAAGTGCAAAGTGTTAAGCGTAAAGTGTGGAGTGTAAAGTGTAGAGTGTGGAGTGTAAAGTGTGCAGTGTGGAGTGGAGAGAGTAGAGTGTGGAGTGGAGAGAGTAGAGTGTGGAGTGTCATCACATGTCACAACATGCAACTCCTGCCACAGATTTTGCACATTGTCAGCTCTTGACGCAGCCCTGACAATGGTATTCGCAAACAACAGGCAACGCGACACATCTGAAGTGCGGCGCCTGGCACGCAAAATGACGATGGGGTCTCCAGTGCTGCGCCTGCCACGAAAAATGCAACTCGCTATTATAGGCACGGTCATACGGACCTCACGCGACCGCCCGTGGACGGTTGCGAACGGTTGCGATCGTAAACGCAACGTCGAGCGAACACACCCTCAACCCCCAACCCCCCAGAGTGAAACGGGAGCCCTTGCTACGCATTCAGGAAAAAGGTTGAACATTTCCGGGATTCGGATCATCGTCCCTAGGATGGAAAGTAAAACAAATTCCAAATCACTAAATGTTTAAATCAAAACTAGATAGCATATACAGATCTGCCATAACTTGGGGTTTTCCGGCTTTCCCAAATCTTTTCCATAATCCCTTCCCCATAATGTCTAATATCATTGCCCAGAAACCATGGTTTGAAACCATGGTTTAGTACGGGACCCAGCTATAGGGTGTGCGAAAAAAAATGAACGGGGGTTGGGATTCATTCCTCCCCATGTTACAACCACCTTGAAAATTCCTGAAATACATAGCTAAGTTGGTTTATAACTAGGTTAACTATATAACTATGGTGTATGGTACAGTGGATATATCTATACTCAATGGGCTTTATAAAGCAACAAACATCACTGTGGGGGCAGAAAACCCCTAGGATTTGAATCCTGCCGGGGTCTCCTGCTTGCGCACTGCACCATCTTTGTCTCTTGAGCTGGTCATGAGGTGTGTCACACCTGACTGGGCCATCAAATGGGCCATCAAAATGAAGGGAGAACCAACCAGAAAATGTGGTCCAACCCTTCCAAACAGGAAAACATCTGGAGGGAAGACCAACCAAAATGGATATGTATATATATATACCGCCGGACTGAAAGTATGCGGTTTTGGAAAACAAGAGAGCGGTCTCAATTTTGGAAAAAAACACAGCAAAACGGCCTCATTCTAACTTGGGCAAAATTTTGGAGCTTAGAATGCGGCCCGGTTTGCGCTTGATTTTTGGCTCAAAAAGCATGGTAGCACATGGAACAAGCATTCTATCCTTACTTAAATCAGGACCGGCCAGGAAGCCGCCTCACAGGTTTTGTTCGAGGGTCTCGTTTTTCACAATGATTCAAACATTAAAGTTGAATCTAGGCCCATTCTTACTTAGCAAAAACATATTTTGGAAAACAAGACAGCATTCCAACTTTCAGTCCGGTGGTAAAATTATATACGTATATATATATAGATGGTGAACATGTGGGGATAACCAATCATACTTGACGGGTATTTAACTGACCAAAAATGGAGCGTTCCTCCACAAATACCCCATGATTCTAGATCTAAGATGCCATGTAATCAATGCCTGCACAGGATTTGACAAGACAACATCTGGATCTCACCAATGAATGATACTCTGCATGAAACTAACACAGATGTGGAAAGCCCATGGTTTTCATTGGAAAATGATCTATATATGGTGGGTTTTCCACATCTATGTTAGTTTACAGGAGGGTACAGATATGGGTTCGTCTCAAAATTTTGGATACACTAAGGCCCTAAATTTTGACAATTTTAGCGCTAAATATAGGGGTTTTAAGCATGGGTTGGAATGGGGTTCCAGATTTTGAAACAGTCCCCATACAAGTCGGGACTGAACAGCTCAACAATGACTGTTGGGTGTTTTGCGGGTTCACCCCATGAAGAAGGTAATGTCAACAAAGAAATGTGGTATAGGGATACCAATATTGATCTATCACCTGCCAAAATGGCGTGACATGTTGTAAAAATAAGGATAAGTAGGAACATCTCTGAACCCCTGAACCTCTATGCAATAGCAAAAACTATCCTGTGAAAACAACAAATTTAGATTTGTTGCATTACAAACAAATGCAATTTATTACTTAATACTTAGATATACTTAGTACACTAGTACTATTTGCAATTCCAACATGTGGCACTGGAACAACAATCCGCACCTTCCATCTTCCCACGGAGATTGGTCTAAGAAAAAAATATCGAAACTGGAAACCAACGATTTTACATTGAAATAAAGTCGTTTTCCGATGTTCCCTTTAATTCTAGGATACCCTCCGGTGTCATCAAGCGTGGCACTGGAAACTCCACCATTTAGTTCGATTCCCCAGCTAGCCAGGTTTGATGACACCGGAAGGTATCCCCATAATATCCAATGATATTCCCATTCATATTCCATTATAGCACCATGTTTGATGGTTAAATCACGACATGTGATGATTACGTCACCATGTTTGATCATTTTTTGGTTAAATCACCACAGGTGATGGTTACGTCACCATTTTAGATCATGATTGCTGGTTATATAAATCCTAATTATTCGATGGATATATATATATATAATTTTCCCCATATTTGATGGTTAAATCACCATTTTTGATGGTGAAATCACCATTTTTGATGGTTAAATCACCATTCATTGGATCAAGACATGGCCGAACATTTTCCATGCGCTCCAAGGCACAACAGAGCACCGGCTGAACGTCGTCCACCAAGAGTTTGGCATAGCCAAAGGGCCGTCTATCCTTAGATCTGTTCGGAGAAATCACTCACTGCCATGCTTCATATGTACATATACATGCATATATATATAATACTGTACATATATATATAATATAATATATAATATATATATATAATATAATATATATATATATATGTAAATAATGAAATATGTACACATATGTGTCTGTACATGTACGTATATGATCGTATATGTATGTAATATATATATACTCTATATATTACAGTGTATATACAATTATATGTATATATGATTATATATATATATACAATCCATATGGCCATATGATATCACTTCGTTGCTGGACAAATATCTTCAAAAAATGAATGGAGAAATCAGCAGAATCTCCAATGTATTGGATAGTCTAGCCCCGATTAATTAATCATCAACCAACCATTATGAATATCAATTCCACAAACATATCTCGTGATCACGATATATGTAGTTTCATGACATAACAATGGATAATCACCATGCAAAGGAAACACAGTCAACCATCGAACTAAATGGACAATGGACCATTCATTTTCCATAGCAAACGTCTAGTTTTTCTGGAGAGTCTCCCATTGTTTCCAGTGATATGCCATTTTATATCCCATTACACCACCATTTTTGATGGTTAAATCCCCATATATGATGGTTAAGTTACAATGTTTGATCATTTTTGCTGGTTATATAAGTCCAATTTTCGATGGTTGAATCCCCATATTTGATGGTTAAGTCACAATCTTTCATGATCAAGTCAAGTCATCATTCTTGTCGCTGAAATCCGATTAAAACACCAATTGTATGTGTGGTTTTTCCATTTTTTCCCCTATGGTTAAATAGTTATATCATCCTTTTAAAAATAGTGTATCCTCCAGTTTTTCCATTTTTTTCCCCTTAGTTGACAGGTTATATCCTCCTTTGTCATGCTTAAATCACCATTTTAAACCTTCCGTCCCAGGTACCATAGGCCGTTCTAAGCCAGGCTCCTCCAAATCGATGTTGCCATAGGAACCTCATGCGGCTGGCCCTCCAAAAGGGGAAGATCCAGATTGCCCCGAGAAATTGTTGGGATTTAATGCGATTTAATGGAATTCAATGGGATGTAGTGGGAGTTCATGAGATTTAATGGGATTTAATAGGAGTTTATGGGATTTAATGGAATTTAATTGGAGTTAATGGTCTTTAATGGAATTTAATGGAATTTACAGTAATGGGATTTAATGATACTTAATGGGATTTAATTAGAGTTAATCGGCTATAATGGGATTTGATGGGAGTTAATGTGATTTAATGGGATCTTACGGGGCTGAATGGGATTGAATGGGATTTAAATGGAATTAACGGGCTAGAATAGAATAAGTTTAACCGACGTTAGGGATCTAATGGGATTTAACAGGGATATTCTGGGATATAAAATAATAACCAACATAATATGATTTGGGTGTGGACCTGAACATAGGCCCTACATAGGGTTCCATTTGTGGCCATTTTCAAATGTGATGTGATGATGGGGTTTGAACCATCCGATTTTGAGGAATCTCCGAAGTGGATAGCGCAGCAACCATTGGCATTTCACCACCACAATTTGGCGAATTGTCGGAATTTTTGACATCTATACCTGCGGTTTGCCAAATCCCATTCATAGGTATGCTTTGAGTAATGGGCCAAGAACCCAAATATAAGTTTATCTAATCCCAGTTCTAGATGCAGCCATAGTTGGTTGTTGACCGACCTTCTGTGCCAAAGAGTATTTCAGGAAGGTTATATCCAGCGACAAATGAGTACAATCCCTTCCTCCTAAAATGCACTACCAGTGTCTTTGTATTGGATCTAAGTATTCTTTTTGGGAGCGCAATCGACTTTCACATTGGGGGAAGGGACTACATTGCATACATGTTCTATACGTGCTTAGTGCTGAATCTTTAATCTTTCTTGCACTTCATTACATCAACAACATTTCTAGACAATTGGAGGTTTCCAATTTATATGGCTACCCCAAACCATTGTTCTTTTCCTAAGTTTTAAGATTAAACCAAGTTTTTTTCCCAATTACCCAATTATTATTGTTTAGAAACCATTTTTGATCAGGGACAACTGACTTAGGAAACCTCCTTAATTCTGTTGTTCTTCCCACCGCGACACCGCTGGCGCTCGCGCCACAGCGGAGCTTTCGGTCCTCGGTCATAGCTGGGCCATAAATGGCTATAGTAACCCCCCTGAAAATTTGATGGCCCAATGGCCATAAATGGAACCCCACTGATAGAAATGAATCATGTAACAATGCAAAATCCTACTGAAATAGTGATCAATTCTACTTTTCTATCCTTTTTTTTGGGGGGTACTATAGATATGTCCAGTGAATGGGCTTTTGAAAGCAGATTGCCAGTTGCGGGGTATCACATTGATCCAATGAGCAACCATCCAAAGACAGAGATCGCCGAACAGCGGAAGCATTTCATCATGTTCCAGTCCTTGACCCATTGCCACTTCACCATTGAGGACCTAATTCCAATTTCTCAAGTGAAACAAACTAAGAAAAATAAAGAAACATCATGGTAAGACCATGTCGTTCATCTCTGAAGATTTCTGCGTGTTTTCCTCTCAAAGCCTAATCTTTCAGCTTTCAGAGTCTTCAGGCAAATCCATCTCCAATTTGGCTCGACTCTTCAGCCAGAACAACGCCACACCGACCTTCTCCTGGGCCATGGAATCATCCTATGGTGGTGTTGATCATCTTAAGCCCAAATCCCATGGCTCAATGTTTCCCAAAAATCAGTGCCTGATGAGTTCAGCCTTTTTGGGGATTCCCGTAGCACCAAGCATCATTGACAATGACTATGCTCAATATATCTCACTATACCTCCATTTCTGATGGTGAAATACGTTTTTTTTCTTGGGTTAAATCCAACTTTCGATGGTTAAGTCCCAATTTCAAGCGGTTAAATCATGATTTTGATCTTGAAATCCTTGATTTTTGATGGTCCAACCGTCCATTTATTTACTGTGTAAACGGTGTCCCATTTCTTGCCGCATTGGTTTTTTCCGTCCTGCCCGGGACCCAGGAAGACCAGACCCTCGTAGCCAAGGCCTGTGCATGGAAGAAGTCTTGTACCACCATGGTTGAAACATGTTGAAACCCTATAAATAATTCGGGATGTTTATCTCAACTGGTGCAGGATTTCTTCCATCAACCTTAGTAAATGGCTTTATAAACCAACAAACAATTCACTGCTGGGCCTCACCTTCTGGAGGATCATCCATTCGGAATCGAAACTGGGATCACCAATGGTAACCAATGGTAAGTAAGACTGGTAAGTCCCCGATTAGGGTGATGAAATCACATCAAATCTCTCACTGAAACTGTTTTTCGACATACGGATTGGGATTTAAGCATCATCCATCGGGATGTATAGGATACGATTGGAATATAAATTATACATGGGTATTCGTAACCAGAAAAAAAAACAATAAAGACCAAAAAGACCAAACATAAATCTATCCCCCAAGAAACCATGGCGGTGTAGGGAATGAAACCACTTAGGACCATCATGGAAGTGTTTTAAATAAGGGGGATGGGATTCTTTTTTCACTCTTCTAGAAGGATTCTACTAAACTCATCTAAACTCAATCTTTTTCGGGTTGCTATAGTTGTAATTTTATCTCAATATTCTATTTTCTTACTAGAAACTAGAAATGTATAATAATATAATAATATTCTAGTGATATTTCTTATATTTTATATATCTATATATAGTGAACACATACAGTATATCTTTTCTACGGGGTTGCTATAATATGCATTTTGTTAGATAATTCAGATTTCGCACACACCACACATGTTGGCCATGTTTTGGCCTTCGTCCACCAGAGAGATCATCATGATATTGCCCCAGAAATGGTGTAAGTTTTTTTGGGGGGCTCACAGAAAATCCATAGGTATTCCATAGGTTTTCCTATGAATCCGTGGGTTTTCCTATGGTTTTCCTTCTGACATTTCCCAACAGAGCCACCAGCCCCGATTTTTTTTGAGATGGCCTTCCAGGGCTTGGCGAAATGTGCCCAAGCCGGTGGTCAGATCCTGAGCATAGGACATTAACCAATGACCTTTTTTCCCTATGTTCAATGACGAGAGGGTACCACAAAAAAAAACATGAAACAATGGAAGAGGTGATCTAGGATTGTCCCCTAAATGTTCACACAAACCCATATACATTCATCGATTCCACACAGTCAACCCTTCAATCCCAGAACATTTGATCTCCAAAGAATTGTCCAACAAGCCCATCATGTCTTGTAGTTGCATATCGTTTGTTCTCATCCAGGTTTGTCTGAAAATCGGGTACCCCTAAATCCATGGTCGATCATCGTTTTGAAATCCGCCCGCACCGAAGGTGCTGGGGCGTGATCTTCCGGATGGCACTCGTAAAAGGTTACAGGTTTACCTGGGGGGGGGGGCATTTTTCGGCCATTCTACGACCTTCTGGGGCATTTTACGCTCGCCTTCAAAAAACACTGTAAAAAACAGTACGGAAGACACCTGTTCGTGAACGCGCCCGTCCAAAATCGGCAAGCGAAAAGTGAAAAAAAAACGTGTTTTTCAACTTTTTGACCTCAATTTTTTGGTTTGCAACATCTTTTTTTGCGGTTCCGCAGGTGGCCTGGCCCGGAGGCGGATTTTTGAGTTTTTGGACCCGTTTTCGGACTGATTTTCGTCGTTTTGTGATAGCAGAAACACTGGTTTTTACAGTGTTTTTCTGTTTTCTGCATGCTTGACGGCTAGCTTCAAAACTTCCAAAAACCTCGTAAATTACGCTGTTTTATGTTACGGTGTGAATGAACACATCGTAAATACCAGTGTTTTTTGACGTTGGTTAAAAAACACTGTAAATTACAGTGTTTTTGGCCACCTGACCCTCAAAAACCATGGTATTTGCAATTTCGCCGTTTTTTCATGTTTTTCGTTATTTTTTGAACTGCGTTGGTCCGCTATACATGGCTATCAAATTCTTCGCGTGTTTTTTTCCGACAATCAGTACTTTCGGATGTTTTTGGTCTCAATGGCCGACATCATTGGCAGTTACGAACGATGCGGTGCGGGCGGTTGCCGTCGCGAAGCGACGTGAATAACCAACATCAGTGGCAAAAACACAATCTTCAGTCAAACCCAAGTCCATATCTCATTGGTGCAATATGGTTGAATCCCATTTTTATTGATTAAACATGATTCATTGAATCATGTTAAATGCAGATTTTCAGACCCAGCCCACAGATCTTCCCAAGGGTCGTGAACATCGTATTCCTGCAGCGCCACCACTGTTGGTTGGTAGACCTTCAACTTCTCTAAGATTCGAGGCCCTCGAGCCTGGCAGTTCGACCCCTCAAACTCAACAAACAGCTATTGAAAATGGCCATTGATGGTTGATTTTCCATAGTTATGGTGATGTTTACCAGAGGACCAGAGGGTAATTCCCATCTATTGGATGATGTTCTACTTTTCATGTTCAATATGTTATAATCCTTTGACTCCGAATGTCTCTGACATTTTCTTCAGGCACCTGTGGAGACTTGCAAATTGGTATGCTTCATATTCTCTCAATATGCGTTTAGATGCCAAAAACACCATTTGTTACCGATACACGACCAACCATGCAAATATATGGAGGCCTCGTTTTCTGGCCAGCTTGAAAGGCTTAAACTAACTTCTTTCTCAACCGAGTTTGACACAACTTGTCCGTTCAGAAATGTCATGGTTAATCTTAGAATGTATCATATCTTATACATCATATGATCATCATATTATTCTCAAATTGTCCCTTTACATTACCCATAGGATCCATGTATGCTATATATGGTAACATTTACCATCAATATACCCCCAATGTTAGCATATAAACCATACATGGATCCTATGGGTTACAAAAACATTACCATCGTTGGATATTTTGTGCTCACCATTACTGTAAAGATTTTTGACCAGCGACGCAGCGAGGAGCGCACCTCCCAGGCGCGCGATTCCAGGTGCACTTTTTCTAAGGCTTTGTAGAGCTGGAGGCTTTGCTCCTGGTGAGTTCACGGTCCCCATTAAGGACCTTTTTCCAGGACACATCCGTAAATCTTTAGACTATACATAAGTATATATGAAATTGAAAAGAATCATGTTACGAACATAAATGATATAATCTGAGTTTTCTTACATGGTTCCTCTTTTGAATAGTGGTTCTTCATGGTTCTTCTTTTCTGTGGGGTGAATTTCCTTGGAGCTGATCTCTTCTCAGAGAGGTCAAGCATCACAGAAGTTTAACCGCTTTAACCATCAGATCTGGGGTTGGGTTTGACCTTCACAATGCAGGTTACTATCATTCAAACATGTTAACATATGGGATTATCATTGGGAGTTAACAACGGAGGTTAACAATGGAGGTTACTATCAATTGGGATTATCATCCGATCTCTATCGATGGGCGAAAAATATTAAATCATGTTTAAAACCGCTGACCAGCAGGGTCGCCCTGTTGTTCCACGACGGGAGACCGTGTCTAAATTGACAGCGGACAAGGTGGGGATTCTTTTGGAATCTTCTATGGAAAGTATTTCCCTGGCCCTGAAAGCAGGGAGAGAAATGAATTGACAGATTTGGGTTTGTCTGAAAATATGAATATAGGCCATCGTCTTCTCAATTAAAATTGCATAAAATTGCCATATTCTGTGGCCATCCCCTTTCAAGCAGACACGACCATTTAAACATTGGCATCGCCAAGCAACAGGCAGCTGAAACGTCTCAACATGCTGGGATCATCTAAACAGCTTCCAAGCTTCCCCCATACCATATCCTCAAAACAAGTCATGAAGTCCATACCATCTCCAACGACAGCCAAACAACATCTAGATAAATCTAGACAAGTAATAGAATTCATTCACTAAGCGAAAAATGTTCGCCTATTTTGGGATAGTTACCCCAATCCTTATCATCATCAGAATCATTCGACCTCGCGACCTGAGGTCGCCTCAATTCAGATGATCTCCATTCTATCGCCATTTCCATGATATATTTCATTCTTACCCAACTTTTCACCACTATTTTTGGTGCGAAAAAAATCAGGTTTATTTTACCCATGGTCCTCACCATTCTTGCTGGGTCAATCCCCAGTTTTACCACGGCCCGGCCCGGCTGCGGCGCCTGAGTCATGTACTGTTGGACGACCCCAAGGAAGGTCTTGCCACCGTCCAGTGTCACGGGATCTTCCACCTTGAACAGCATCCCAGCGTCACGACTCAGATAGGATCCATGTATGGCATATATGCTAACATAAAGGGGGTATATTGATGGGATCCATGTTACCATATATAGCATACATGGATCCTATGGGTATATATATATATATATGTGAATTATGATATTTATAAACATGAAATATATGGATAATGCAACATTGTGATATATTGTGATATTGATTGTGATATATAATGAATCATACATATATATATAGTTATAAAAACTATTGTGAATAACTATTGTGAACAATTATGGTGAATATAATATGGTGTGATTATCTGAATTGACAGTTATTTTGTATTTTATATGTTGAATCATACATGATTAAAATACTATAACATACTATAAATATATATATATAACGATCTATAAATGCAAGACACAAAATATATCAGAATATGTCGACAATACTAATCATAAATGATTGATGAGTAGCGATCAAGAATAACAATGACAATGATCATGAGAAATGAAATATATATATATATATGTATATGCATATATATATATAATGATCATCATCATGCCATACATAAAAGGCCTAGGGACGTGAACACCATCCAGCTGCCAGCCCTTTCCTTCCAGAAGTGTCAGATCCAATTGGTCCCACAGTCCTGACAGCTCCCCACGCTGTCAATCCTATGGGGATTTCAAGGATATCCTAAGTGGTAAATAACACTAAGAATCCTTGTTACCCTCTGGTAATTTAACATAGCTATTGTACATAATTATATATATATATATAGCTGAGGGTCTGAGATGCGTTTCTCAGCACGAGTAAGGATATCTGGGGGATATATGTGTATATATATATATATATACACGTATATTATAAAACCAACATATCTGGGGATGATTGGGATATTAATCAGCAACTCAAACATTGGGATTGTTAGAAATTTGAACCAACTTGGTCTGATGGATGTCCCCAGAAATCTATGGCCAAACAGCCGAGGTTGAAGATCAGGGGATATCAAGCAATATGGGAATTGTATGGAATTCTTGGATGTATACAATCCAACATGGGAATGGTTGGATAAGCAATGCCAGCTGTAGATTTGAGCACGAAAAATAGGGATGGGATTGCGAATATAGAGGGACACACATTTCGAGAGTATACTCTCCTGGAAACGTTTTGATGTGGAACTTGTGGAAAACCCACCATTTGTAGATCATGTTCCTAGGAAACCCATGGGTTTTCCACAGCTTTTTGTAGCTTTACCATGGTTTACCGTTGACGGCTACTCGTTCAAACAATCCGTATCTTGACAGCCGGGCGTCCTCGGGATTTCATCTTCAACCCCTGGCACATCGGAGCTGCCGATACTCTGAAATTCTGAAATCATCAAATACCAGCCATTGTATACCAGAATTGATACACTATCATGATGGCTTGTTCCTTTACTCTTCCCATTCAACCTTTCCCTCGGGAATGCAGTGCCATTTATGTTCATCCCATGCCATGAAAATCCGAAAAAAATTGCTTATATCACAGTAAGCCCTATCAATCAGGGGATAATCATCCCCTTTTATGGCTATATTATGCTATATATATATTGTATACAATCCAAATTTTGGTGCACATACGGCTTTATCATGATCAGCTATGATCGGTGAATTTGATCTTTAATCATTGGCCAACCCATTGCAGTAACAACGGAATACAATGCGCTATCACAGCTATCACTGGCTATGGACCAAAATTATGCTACCATGCTTTTCTCACTGAGAAAAGTGATTCTTGTGATTTGTTTAGTGGAGCTTCATCCCCCGTGGCATTTTCGGATACCCCATTTTTTTTGAGACAAACCCAAGATACAATGCTGTTGGTTGTACTATATATAATTATATATATAATTGTATATATTACAGTACACACATATATATATATGAATAACTATATATAAATATATATTGCATATGGTAATATATAGTATCGCACAGAATAAACCCATGAGTTTTGGTAACACCCCAGTCGTCCCTTTGACCAGGCCATCATGGCGACGCCTGTGGGTTCGTCACCAACGTCTTCATGGGATGCCACTTGCGATACTCGTTGTTCAATGCCTCGCCCCGACGCACGGCAGCCACGGCCGAAAAATTGTCGGAACGTGGGGAGCTCGAATTTTGGGGTTTGGTCACTGAAAATGATGGGATAAACATGAGGAAAAAAAACAATCCAATGACATTTCGAAGCCCTTTGCTTATTCTAATAACATACCCATCTTCAGATATCTTCAGTGATTCAGATGATGTGAATGTCATGATGCTTTCCTCAAACTTATACAGCTGAAACCGTGCGCGGATTCCTGAAAAGCAGGTAACAACCGGATTGGTGGTTACAACCCATTACAAAAGTATATATTAAACTCTGTATATATATATATATCATTACTATTATTGTTATTTATCATTATTATTATTGTTATTATTATTATTATTATTATTGTTATTATTATTATTGTTATTATTAATTATTATTATTAATTATTATTATTATCATGATGATTATTATTATTCAATATCAGTGACTTAGGATCATCAGCTTAGGTAAAATGGAACATCAACAATATTTAACTGGCACAGAGCACGTATTGCTGGTTGATCTGACGCCCAGCAGATATGGCACTAACTAATTGAAGATCGTCTTGACTGAGCAAACACACCTTTGTCATCTGAGAAAAAAAACCAAGCGATGAAGCCTGAAACTCCAAAAAGTGGCAGGAACCGGCTTCGAACCCCAAACATTACTGGGTCATACGGTCATACTGGGTTGCGGAAAAGATCACATGATCTGATCTACCATCCCAACCCAACATAGACCCTGAACGCCATCCATGTTTAGATGAAAGTTCTTTTCCATGCCCCTTAGTCAGGTCAAAATGTTAGGGATTCATAAGCCCTCAATTTTCCATAATTTTCCCATACCCACAGGATGGGGCCCCCAAGATAGCTAAGTTGGTTTATAAGTGGCTTAACAATAGTTTATGGTAGATATAACTATAGTTAATGGGGGTTATAATGGTTTATAAACCAACTTATAACTGGGGGGCCCCATCCTGCACCCGTCAGACCCCCCATGTCCCGTCGGAAGTTGCCTTGTCGACTTCTCTCCACTTCGTTTCAGCCCCATCGCCCAGAATCTCTTGGAGCACCTCGCTGGAAGGCTCCTGCGCATCGCCCAGCGGAATGGATGAGAAACGAGATCGATCCCGGTGCTTCACAAAGAAGGGAAGGCCTTACTGATATATTCATCATACATGATTATATAAATATACTACACATATTATATATATATTATATAAATATGTAATAATATATAATAATATGTAATCACAGGTAATAATCAATTATCACAGACACAATTGCTTTTCTTTCCAACACCGGACACTATGATCCCAGCAAAAATGTAGTGGCCCGTCCACTCAAAGCACGGGTTGGAGGGTCAACATCACCCTAATGACTGTCATCACGCGTATGCACACAACTATTTTACAGATCAATAGTATTCGATATATATATATAATATATATATATATATATATCCTATGGATCCAATTCATAGCCTAAATACTTCCCCAGAAGGTACTTGGATCCATAGGCTACATATTATATAGATCATAACATCCGGGTAAATTATAGTATTTCACTAACCTGAATTAAGGCCATTTGGGGATGATTTCCCTTACTAACCATGATTCCCAGTGAGGTCGCAGTGAGGTCGTTATAATTTACCCACATAACATATCATAGATATCAATATTCTCTCACGGAGCAAAACACGGTGCCGCACCTCCATGGTGCGCGGCACCAGATTGGAGGAAAGCTCATCTGCGAGGATGTTGTAGGTCATTACCTACCAGAGGAGGAACCCAGTGGTGGAAAGAAATTGCTTTTTGAACAGCAGAAGAAAGAAAAACATAAAAAAAACACAGCAACCTGATTTAACCAAGAATAATTAGGATCAGAAACCCAGTGTTGCCACTGTGGTTTTTGATGGCACCTTCAGCGATGGCTTTGTTTAGAAGGGAAGCCCCAGATGGTTGATTGTATGTTCCACTTGAACCTTACCATTTCTGCGGGATAACTAGCTCTCCGTTCTTCAGGGGCTTTCAGAACTGCCAACACAGTACAAAAGATACATTCAAGTTCCCATGTTGATGAATCTGGCTGAATGGTAATTCACAACCTACAGAAAACAAAGTGAATTTGCGGCAGACTTCCTTTTTGTATTTTAATATATATAGATTGACATATTTACATACCCTTCATATGTAAGGATGTCCCTGTCAGTCTCCATCAGTCTCCGTCCAAATCTATGGCTCACCCAGCCAAATGACCCGCAGCGGCAACATGACTGAGCCGTCGTTGCAGACCGCTGGGGACTCAGAGCAAATACCACACAGCATAGCCCGGGCCGATGCAGCTGCAGATTCTCAGAAGCCGTGTTTGTAAGCTTGCTGTGTTGACCTGGGTGCAGGCTTACACATGGCCCATTATAAATGAATTTACATTGATTTACCTGGTATTTTCATGTATTTTCATATATGTTTTTCCAAATTGCCAGAGGGTAAGTTGTCTCCCTGTGATGCAATTTGAGAAACTTGATTGCTTTGAGGTCCAGAGATAAAAAAAGGATCAAAAAAGGAGCAATACCTTCTTGGATCCTTGGGTCCCGGTTCTCGGACGCAAAGATGGAATAAACAGCTTTGATCCTTGACTTTACCTGTTGATGCCTGTTGGGTATTTATCTTGCACTAAACAGGATGAGCCAGTGGATTGTTGTGGTGCTGAACTGAAACTATGGATTCCTTTGGATATCCCTTTGGATTACTATGGATTACGCGAGTGCGGTAATGAGGCCGCTGAGACTGTTTAAATCTGTTTAATACAAACTCTCTTTGAGAAGCGGGACCTAATTGAGCCAAGTTTGTCGAGCGATTGGAAGTGCCAAGTTGTGGACCCAGGTTCTGGCCATGTTATGGGCTTTCCCAGCATTTTCAGATAAACCATGATCAACCATCATATACATGTGTCCACATCAACCAGCTATATAAACCCCATGAGAACACTATCAAAGTACCATTGCTTCATGGTTAATTCCCAGGTTTCCCATTATTTTCACAGATTTTCCCATGATTTTCCTGTCATTGTCCAATGATATTCAGATCAACGATATGATATCAACTCGCGGCTGCAGCTAGCCCCATTTGATTTTTCAAGAAAATCCATTTCTACCGGCTATTTCTATATTACCCCCCATAGAACGAACAGCTGCAAACCTCGAAATAATATGAAGTTACGGGGAAAACAGCATGGAACTACCAAAACTACCATCCTGGAAATATCCTCCGACATCTTTTTCGGGTTATATATATATATTATAATCTGATAATCAAACCTGGCACAATGGACCATGTGGATTGTGTCCCGAAGATCATACATGACATGATCATACATGGAAGTCTCCATGGTGACAATGATAGAAAATTTGAGTCCAGGGACTCCCTAAGTCAAAGAAAAAAGTAGCAAGCCCAGTCCAGTAGACTACCGGTTGGGGATGGTGTATATCATCTTTTCTGGTAAAGTGAGGATGATTTATTCGTGGGTTTACCACATGTTATAACCCTCTGGTTCACTAACATAACTATGGAAAATCATGGAACATCAGCATTTTTAATGGCTAAATCAACTATTTCAATGGCCATGTTCAATATATAGCTTTTTGTATGTTTATCAGAGGGTATATTAATTTATCATGAGTCATGACGGCACAGGTCCACCAGTGGAACAGCCTGAAGTATGAGTCGTCTTGTGCTGTTCGTGGCTCTCAAATTGATTGCACTGTTGTCGCCAATGATGCCAAGGGGTGTTTGCTGTGGCACTTTAGGAGTACTATATACATAGTACTATGTATTTAAGAGTAATAATGTATACCAGTAATATATACTAACCATCAGTAGTATCTACACCTGGTTAGTTGTGTTTCAACACCCTAAACCCCAAACACATCAGTGGTTCCATAACCATGAAACATCCCCATGGGTTTTCCGATTGCCAAACTTTGAACCCAGAAGCTGCGCCTGGATGCATCTCGTCTCGATGTCATAACACAACCAGAAGAGAACGCTGAGCATATAGTAACCATGTATCTATACACATCTATATAAACTACATAAACCGTCTAAATCCGCCCGCACCGAAGGTGCTGGGGCGTGATCGTCCGGATGGCACTCGTAAAAGGTTACAGGTTTACCTGGGGGGGGGGGGCCCATTATTCGGCCAAAACCTCCTGTTTTTGATAGGTCGTGACGCTCGCCTTCAAAAAACACTGTAAAAAACAGTACGGAAGACACCTGTTCGTGAACGCGCCCGTCCAAAATCGGCAAGCGAAAAGTGAAAAAAAAACGTGTTTTTCAACTTTTTGACCTCAATTTTTTGGTTTGCAACATCTTTTTTTGCGGTTCCGCAGGTGGCCTGGCCCGGAGGCGGATTTTTGAGTTTTTGGACCCGTTTTCGGACTGATTTTCGTCGTTTTGTGATAGCAGAAACACTGGTTTTTACAGTGTTTTTCTGTTTTCTGCATGCTTGACGGCTAGCTTCAAAACTTCCAAAAACCTCGTAAATTACGCTGTTTTATGTTACGGTGTGAATGAAAACATCGTAAATACCAGTGTTTTTTGACGTTGGTTAAAAAAACACTGTAAATTACAGTGTTTTTGGCCACCTGACCCTCAAAAACCATGGTATTTGCAGTGGTTTCTGCTTCTCACCGCGCAAAAACACTGTAAATAACAGCAATTTCGCCGTTTTTTCATGTTTTTCGCTATTTTTTGAACTGCGTTGGTCCGCTATACATGGCTATCAAATTCTTCGCGTTTTTTTTCCGACAATCAGTACTTTCGGATGTTTTTGGTCTCAATGGCCGACATCATTGGCAGTTACGAGCGGTCGCGAAGGTGTGAGAACAACATCGTTCAAACCGTGGCGGCCGCACAGGGGTTCTTGTCGCGGAGCGACGGCAATAGGAGAGAACAATGGCAGTAGAAGAGAACAATGGCTGACATCATTAACAGTGTGGACCGTTCACTCGATATGTACATATATGATCTTTATATATATAGATATATCTCTGCTGTGTGAGCCCAACGATGCGGTGCGGGCGGTTGCCGTCGCGAAGCGACGTGAATATACCTATAATTATCATTAATTATCTATATAACTATGAACAAAGGTATAAGTAAGAGATGGAAATGGCAAGATTCATGGATCTAACATTCGATGTTGGTAGGTATTTTGTTTTGGCATAGGGAAAACAAACGGTACGAAGGGTTCATCTTGCAAGTGAATGCTTTGCTCACAAATGATATCACATCCAAAAAAAGAACATGAATCTGCCAGCATGACAGGCCGTGATATCTTCTACCCTCTGTGAATCAATCACAGCAATGGGAAACCCATCATTTACATGCGTTACCATGGATACCTTTGATTCATTTCCCCATCAACCATGGATACCCAAAGGATATATATCTGGCTGAATTATAGACTAATCTGAAATAGCCGAAACGTGCGGCTATTTGGGGATGATTCCCCATTTACAATTCTCATCATTCCAGTGACGTCACAATGCGAGGTCATGATCAAATTCGAAGCTGTAATCATCAGTCTCCATTATCCTTTCTACAATCCCTATTGTCGATGGTTACATCCCATGATTTTCCAATTCATCACCGTTAAAATCACCATCAATCATCATAAAATCATATAAAATCAACATGTTTCTCCCATTCATCATCCTAAAATCACCATTAATCACCTCTATTATCTCATAACGTCACCAAAACAAATCACCACAGAATCACCATTAATCATTAATCATCACAAAATCACCATTCTTTTCATATAAAATCACCACAAAAATCACCGCGGTTTCCGCTGTTTCGTTCATGACATGACTCCTGCCACCGCGCTGGTGGCGTGGCAACCTGCGGCAAGCTGCTCTCACACGTCCTCGCAGCCGATCTCCAACGCGCTGAAGATCGCTGAAGGGGCTTCTCCTGGGGCAACTGTTAGCCGCAATGGTGACTCAACCGTGACTTACCTATCAAATATGAGGATTTAACCAAAAGGTTGCTGACTTACCCTCTGGTTATTTAGCATAGCCATGGAAAATAGCCCATTTGTAGATGGTTTAGCTATTAAACATGGTGATTTTCCATGGCTATGTTAAATAACCAGATGGTAACCATGAAAAATGGCTATTTTACCCATAAAGACATGGCCTTCACTGCCTTCACCATGCAAAAATATGGGATATCACTTGGATATGATGGGGAGATGGTGGTTGACCCTATGGTAATCATAGCTATAGCTGGTAAATCCCAGAACTAAATGGTTTGTAGCTGGGACATCGACCTCAATGGATCCAAATGGAGGATTTTCGCCATATCGGCCCTGAATCCAGATATGTCCCCAGAACCCCAGCATAGCCCAGCAAAGTCTCCTCAGTTCGGGGTGATAAAAATCGTAGTAATCGTAGTATCACGGTCCAATCATGGCAGTTATTCACTGGTGATCAAGTTGTTGTGGGAGTCCCACAGGACAACGCCCTTGTGATCTTTGTTGCAGTAACTTCGGGTGAGGCCCAGCATTGTCTGTCACAGCAACTTTTTCGATTCGACTTGTTGAAGATTTCTTGACACAAAAACAGCGCGGAAGGCCTAGCTTCAGGCGCAACACATTTGGTCGAGCTGAGCGCTCAGCGCCAAGAAAAAACAATACGCCGTATGCATACAAGAAGACAGGATCAGCATCTACCCTCTGGTAAACTAACATAGCTATTGAAAATGGCAATTTATAGTGGATTTTCCCATTAAAAATGGTGATTTACCATTGCTATGTTAAATTACCAGAGGGTATAAACATTCAATCTCGGCATTGAACATCAAAATATCTGTCACATCACAACTTCAGTGGAACCTCGCTGCTAAACTTGGTCTCGCACCGACTTGACACAAACACTTGACCCAAATGCTTCCCTTGCATAGCGTCATGCAATTCCTCCTGGAGGCATGGGAAAATGGATAAGAAACTTTGCTCTTCCGCCCAGTTGGACTCTGAAGAGACATCCATCCCTGAGAATTTTAACTATTTCATCATACTCTTTCAAACATCCAGAGTGGGTGAGACCCCTTCAATACAAAATCCATGAATTTGGGAAAACTTGATTGACCAATCATATCTCACCTCGCGACCTTCTGAAAACAGCTTCTTTCGCTGCTGTAAACTCTTAAAGCCATCCCTCAGTGCAGCCTCTTTCGCAGGATCTTGAACAGGTTCTCCTGAGTACATCTCAGGGATCTCTGGGTCTGGCATCTGGTTCCACCAAGACCAATTTTTGTCAAAAAAAACGCAGGTGCGGAAGGAGACTTAACCAGTCAATAAAGGAGATATGATGGATGTATACATCTGTTCATAATGATAAGATTTATGACTGGATCCAAAATTCGAGATACTTCAGCGAAGATCAAATTGGCATTTCAACGTTGGAAAACTGAGAAAGCTGTTCAATCTGGTTTAGGGTCTACCCTCTGGTAATTTAACATAGCTATTGAACATGGCCATTTATAGTGGATTTTCCCATTAAACATGGTGATTTTCCATAGTTACGTTAGTTTACCAGTGGGTAAATGTATGGGTGCCCAAATGTGCGTTGCAACAAAGACCCTGATGTGATCAACCTTCATCAGTTTGTCATGCCCTGCATGTAGTATATGCACATGTGGTATATTTACCTACATAACTAACATGGTTAACATGACCCTGAAATATCACCCAAAGTAAGGTAGAATGATCTCTAAGAAGATACAAACCCATTTCCAGAATCAATATTGTGGGTCATAGTGTCATTGTTTTCTGTGACTGTTTCAACATGTTTCAACCACCCATCCCAATAATATTAGTCAATTGTCAATTAGAGTTATTTGGGGTCATCATCCCAAGTATGTTTCAACATTTTTAAAAAAAATGTTGAAACCACCGACCACTTTGGGATCCCCGTAATTCTAGTAGCACCTTTCGCTGCCACGTGTCGTACATCTTCTCACTGCGTTGATCAAACCTTGCCAGTCACCGCTCCGGGTTATTGACATATATAAATATATATATATATGTGTATACATATGTATGTATATGTATACATATATATATATGTATACGTATGTGTATATATATATGTATATATATATATATGTATATATATATGTATACATACATATACATATATATATATATATAATTCCCCGACGGTTGTCCCAAAAAAATATGAACATGTCTCATATATATATATATATATGTTTATATATATATATATATATTATCAATTTATACATATAACTGTTGGGACAACTCACCAAAATAAAGTATACACCCAGATTATGGCAGCTTAATTGGGGAAACTTGTCATCAACCAGTGGATGGAATGAGGTTCTTGTCATTGTCAGACAAACAACTTGGTGTACAGCAGGATATCAAGGATTTTCTGAAGGGTTATAGCCCACGATAATCCCATGAAAACCCCATTTACAAACCAATAATTCAATATAAATCCATATAAATCCATATCTGGTTGGTCGTATACCTACCCCTCTGAAAAATATGAGTTCATCAGTTGGGATGATGAAATTCCCAACTGAATGGAAAAATAAAATTCACGTTCCGAACCACCAACCAGTATAATTGACATAACAGGATATAACTTGGATATATTATTAGGATTTGTCAGACCAACAAACATATCAACAACTGATTATAAGGGTACAAAGGCATAACCACCAAACATGCACGGATCAATCAGGGTATCCTTAATGTCACATCTCCCAAATATTTTCCGGGGCATCCTGAGAGTGGAGCTTCCCAGCCAAGTCAAGTTAAGTACATATCCACTGTTGGTCTTGGTTATATTCCCAATTGAATCAATTGTTGGACATAACCCCTATGTTTGCTGGGATGCACATCCATCTTGCTTCGTCCAAAAATGGTGTACCCGTAAAAAGAAGAACATAGAACATCGTCTTCCCCACAAAACAAGTAAATCTCTCATTAATTCAAGACACACGTTTACCGTTTACCCATTGTGTTCTTTTTCTTGTGAAATATCTATGTGTAATGAAGTTGGCTTCAGTCTCCAAACATAGATGGTGAAATCCCTCCAGAAAGGGGGACGAACCCTATGCACTCACCAAGAAACCAGGTGCCAAGGCAATGATCAGAGTCTGGCACATGAAGCCTCGACGCTAGCCGCTTCGTGGTGATGAGGTGATGTGGAACCGCAACAGGGCGGGTTTGGGGGATATAGGTGGAACATCCATGGGGCAAAGACAAATCGCAAGACATCCAAAGACATGCATAGATATACAGTAACATATATACAGTAATTCGTATACGTACAATATAGCGTCTGGAAATTTTATAGTTATGGAAAAAAATCGTAGATCATCTACAAATGTGTCATTCTCCATGGCCATGCTAAGAATTATCACAGGGTAGACCAATCAAAATAAATGGCGTTGTCCAAACATGGTGGATCTACTTCCAGTATCAGTAAGTGTTTGAGGAACATGTAAGATTTTAGGGGCTCCGATTTGAAACAAACCCAAATGAAGACCTTGGTCCTAGCTGCCTAGCTGCTTCGGTCAGGATGTTGTGGCTGGTTGGGCAAGTTCCATTTTGGACAAACCCGATCTGACAAATTAGTTGTCTAAACATATTTTGCACAGTATCTTGGTTGGTTCAATGTAACTCCTTTGGTTATACTTTGTTATACTCCGACTCTTACCTGTTGTAAAATCGCATGACATTAACTATAAGTAATTATAATATATGATAATAGTTGGTCTTGTATGATTTCATACTTCAAGTTTTGGGGTCTCCCCTTTCTCCAGTAATTTCATCCCACCAATTTGATCCCATTTTTGGGGGATTCAATCCCAAATCTTTGCCTGTGAAATCTCAATCAGTTGATGGTCACAAATTATCCACTTCTATGGGATTCTATGGGCTGACTCCTCTGATATGTAATGTGAAATCCGACACTGGCTGGTTGAATCCAATGTGTTTTGTTTTTTAGGAGAATAGAGGCACCAGTTTGGTTTATGTTTTCTTGTCATCTACCTATTGAATGGTTGGTTTTCATAGGGGGAACCCGGGAACCCTCAATCAATCAACCAGCATGAAAAGGACATCTATGGTTGAATCCTCTTTCTCCAACAATTCACTCAATTAATGAGGTGACCGAGCCAAGGCACTCATGCCACCTGCCACGCTGCAATGGTTTTTCTTCCTCGCCATTGTCCTCATGTTGAACTCAAGGCTTTTCGAACATATGGAGTTAACTTTAGTTGACAAGATTTCACCAACCTTATTGGGGATATTATGGAATATCATCAACGCATATATATATATATATATTGCATTATATATATATATATTGCCTCATGAAACATGTTTATTATTTCACATTATATATTATATAACCCAACGGATATTTACCCGAAAGGATGTGGGCCACACGGTGTCAAACCAACTGACATTTGGGTTGGTCTCGAAATGGGCCATACCCCAAATATCAGCACTTGGATCTGGAACATGGTGATTATTATACAACCAATGGATGACTAGGGGTAATGTTTTCGGACAAACCCAGGTGGTTATGGGTCATAATCACCATGGATATCCATGGATTGGAATGGATTCTGGGTTTGGATAGTTTGGGGGTTCACCGTGTTTGGTGCTCTCAACAATTGGATGGACAATACTAAACATCAGGCTGTTTATAGATCAACATTGTGAAACACAATAATCTCCGCCTCCGCCAGTTGGATTTGCACCTTTGCCGATCATTAAACCGGGATTGACATGACATGGAGGTTTGCTAAGTCATAGGGGGGTACCCCTAGTCATCATCCAGTCGTCATGGATGGCCATGACTTATACAGTATAGAAACCTATGGTGACCACCTGGGATCCCCCGTGACTTAAGAACCCCCCCACATGGATTGAGTTAACTTTGCACAGGGAACAAAATATGGTTATGGGTCAAAACCCTGGGACCCAAATGCTACCTCTAAGTTGCAGCTGGTTCATGGACATAGCCAAATGCTGAACCAGGTACCAACTTATGTGGCAAACATGTCATAGCCAAATGAGATATACTGGTACTGCTGATATGATGATATATGATGTACACTAACCATCCGCAGTTTGGTTATGATTTCATGATATAAGTGCATTAATCACCATAAATGATCACCACTCATCATTGATAAATAACTTCAGTAATCAAATATCATCACCATTCATCATTATACAAACACTTGTTATAATCACCATTAATTCACCATGGCCAGCATATGCTTAATAAACAAACCCTTGATTCTTGATTACTTGTTTTGCTAAATGCTTCACATGTTTATCAACAAATGGTTTGGCAGCATTATTCATCACCATTATTAGTCACCATTCATCATTCATCACTTTATCAATCATCACCATTCATCATTCATCACTTGTTATAATCACCATGAATCCACTTTGGTTCACATCCACTTTATTAAGTACCATTATAATTACCATATTTTATTGGTCCACTTTGGTTACCCTCTGGTAAACTAACATAACTATTGAAAATGATCATTTAGTTCGTGGATTTACCCATTAATGTCGGTCTCTGATTAGTAGCTAGGTTCGCTATTGTGGCATTTTTTTCCAAATTATTCTGAAACCCATGTATTGTTTGGAGGGTTCACTTTTGTGGCAAAAAAAATGGGAGAGTTTAAAAAAAAAACACAACCTGTAATTGCTACAGGTACTACAAGTACTACAATACAAGTACTACAAGTACTACAAGTACTACAAGTACTACAAGTACTACAAGTACTACAAGTACTACAAGTTCATCCGCAAAAAAACAGTTTTAGTTTTAATTAGATTTCAATTGTAGCCAATTGAAATCCTTACTGACTTAAGTGAGGATTTGTTTCTCTCTTGGGAAAATTTTTTGTTGACTTTCCACTTTAAAGGGAGTCCAGATATTGTTTGGAGGGGGAGGGGAGAGGCCTCACACTAATCAGGAACCAACATTTTCCATAGCTATGTTACCCTCTGGTAATTTAACATAGCTATTGAAAATTGCCAGTTATAGTGAGTTTTCCCATTAAACATGGTGATTTTCCATAGCTATGTAAACGTTTACCAGAGGGTAACATCAACTCAGCAAACCATCTCCAAAAACGGCGCCCCATTGGCCCAAGATGGCCCAAGGCTCCACATGGCCATAGCTATAGGCCCGCGCCAAGGCGTGAACCCGGGCCGCCGGCACGTGCATCTGCGAGCGACTCTGGCGACCTCCGGGCTGCCTCCCAGTGGCTGGTGGATGGTTGATCCCAAAATCCTACCCCTCTGGTAAACATCACCATAACTATGGAAAATCACCATAGAAATAGTGGATTTTCCCATTGATAGCATGGTGATTTTCTATAGTTATGGTGATGTTTACCAGAGGGTATTTTTTCCAACTGGATTTCTTTTGTTACCGACTTGTTCATCAACAGTATGGCATTTTTTCCAATGGTAGAAATCCATAGAAATCCTATGTTTCATAGTTTTTTTGTGACCAACTGGTAGATTTCTTTTGGAGAAAAAACTGGATGGAAATGCTCACATTGATGAGTGATTTTTGAAAGATTTTAAGCATCAACAATAAGATTTACGAACGAAACATAGGGATTAAATCATCAGAATTGGGTTTGCTCAACCCCAAAGATAACATATTTTAGCAAAACATGTGATAGCTGGATAGATTTTCTTTGGTGGATTCATGAAGTGTTCAGGAACCGGGAAAAAATAGCGAGGTCTACCCTCCGAAAAACCCGGACAGTGCAAAATCTCCCAATTTAGTTCGATGATTTGGCCCGGGTATAAACCTCCATTTATAGTGGATGTTCCCATTAAAACATATCACCCCCCCCATGATTTATGGATGTTCCCCATATTTTCCCATTGAAGCCTCCATTTTTCATTGGGATTTCTCAGCCATGAGGACACCCAACGGCCAAGCCAAGGAAATCTGGTGGACCGTTGATTCAATTGAAAGTCTAGATGAAACCCATGAGGACACTTACCCTTCAACATGTTTGGGGAGTCCTGCAAATTTTCTCCTCAAACTTTGGGAACATAAACATGTTGAGAGTTTTTTTTCAACGGATGATGTACCCTTTACATCGAAGAAAAAAAAAACATCTTACATACCCTCTGGTAATTCAAGATGGCTATTGAACATGGCCCATTTACAGTAGTTCGTTGATTTACTGATCAAAGATGGTGGTTTTACATAGCTATGTTAGTTTACCAATGGGTAACTATTATACTTATATGATAATACCTATCATATCCTATTATTATTATTATTACCTATTTATACGATTGATTACAGATAATCACCTGATTCCAAAAAAACCCTCCAGTAAATTGACATAGATCCTGGCAGTCATCGGGGTTGGAAGATTAGTCATGACCATCCCCACAAGAAAGGGACCAAGGTGCTGCTGCCGCGTGAGACGCGGGCAATCCAAACAGCGCTGGGCGATGACGTCAATGAGCCCATCATTGGCGCCTGGCGCCGGCGGCGACTAAAAAGCCATTGAGATGGGCAGATTGATCCTTTATGTTTTAAGCTGCATATATGTATAATATCTCTACATACATGCATATATATATATATATTATATTTATAATATATATATATACGTATATGTACATATAATATCATACTATTATACTATGTATATAAATAGGTGCCAGCTCTGCGATATTTTTGGAACGATCAGTCCACATGTGGATAGATTAAACATGATTAAACAATCGGCATTTCTATATGGGATGCTATGAGTCAAGATTGGGTATCAATGGGCCAACATTTTGCCAACACAAGTGGTCAATCATAGGATCCTAATCAATCCATTGTTGGGGGTGATTGACAGTTCCTGGTTGGTGGTTGACCTACCCCTCTGAAAAATATGAAAGTCAGTTGGGATGATTGTTCTCCATTGCCATATATGGAAAAATAAAACATGTTCCAAACCACCAACCAGGTTCAAATCACCATACTTGATGGTTGCTATCCCTATGTTCCTGAAAAATCATCATAGGATCTCACCCGATCATCTCCATGCCGGCCTTGCTCAGCATCTGAAGCCACCAGTGCACTCTTCGGTGACAGCTCCTGTGGCTAGGCATGTCCAAACGTGCGCACACTCATGACTGTATTTATTTGGCTCCTATTCAGCATCCCAAACATGAAATTGATGCTTATACACTCATACTCCAAGTTCTAGGTTTTGAATGGTTTTGACGCATCCCCATTTAGATCCATTGGGTAATTGAGAGATACCCACTTGGTCTGAAGACTGATTGGGATTGGGATCATTCCGTTATTAAGACGAATCCAAACTACTAAAATGAAGACCACCAATCATATTTTCTTTTTTTTTGTGTTGGTTTTAGTGTCCATTGCTGGTTGTCTCGTTGTTGGTGTTTTCTGATCATCATGATCATCACCATCGCCGTGTTTATAAACACTTGAGTCGAAATCAATAATGCAAACAAAAACTCAGACTCAGAGGTACCTGATGCTGGTAATGCGGTAATGTTTGACAATACTTGATAAACCTCACGAAAAACAAAACAAAACAGCAATAGAAACATTATCTAGATAAAGTATGCAAAAACACCAACCTCCAATAACATAAAATAAAATAGTAAATCAAATCATCATTCTAGTAATGCCGTAAATGGCTTCCCCTAGTTAAATACACTGTTTATCAATCCAATCATCATTAAACGGAAGAGTCCTCGCTTATGCCTGCAAATCTGTCTCACTTGTGCCTGCGCTGCCTGTTCTTTCAGTTAGCAAGTGCAGAAGTACCAGAATCATGTAAAGCTTGCCCCAATGTCCCTAATCCACCCCAGGTCCCAGGTCCCCGTGTCCCCAAAGCAAACCCTAACAGGTTGTGTATGGTCAAAACCCATCTTCACCAGCGCAAGCGAGACACTTTGACCGGCACAAAAACCTTGGTACCCTAGATACCCTAAGTCATAGCTGGCTAATGGATGTTTATTACCCTAAACATGGTAATTTTCAAAAGGTTTAGACCCGTCCCGAGTTAATTATAGTAAATAGCTTCCCCCACCGAATCATCATTCCAGTGATACTGCAGTGAGGTCCGATCACCTTGCCTTGGCTGCACGATGCACTGAGTAAGAGCTCAATCGCAAATAGGGCCGCAGGAAATAGCCTCGATGGATTATGGGAGGACGGGAGCGGGCAGCTTAGTGGTCCATTATTTGTGTGTGAAGAAATATTGGAATGGGGAAAATCAATTTCATCAATTTATGGTTTAGATGGGTTTATAACCAATCATCTTATGGGTATATAACGGGATATGATATATATATATATATGATTATATGTATAGGTAACATTGCGTAACTAACAATATTGTATTTCGAGGTGGACCTGAACATTGGGTATCCCCCAATGTGTGGTGTTTTTTTTTTTCCCCGGGGAACGGACATCCATAACTACCAAGTACCAGCGCGGGGAACAACAAAACACACACCACCAGGTGGACACGTGGTTTCCACACAATTGATTTGCGGCAATCTGGCCTGGCAGTGAAATAACGTCAATTTTCAATAGGAACATGTATGTATACATATATAATATATAATATATAATATATAATATATAATATATAATATATAATATATAATATATAATATATATAATATATATATAATATAATATATATAATGAATGTATAATATATATATATAATGAATGTATAATATATATATATATATATATTGATTTATATTATAATATAATATATATATATGTTATATATAACCACATATATAATATAATATGTATTATATATATATATCATATGATATATTATAATATATAAATAAAATAAATTATATATATAATTATATATATATAATGCACATTTATACTGTTTGCAATCTATAAGTTGGTGGTTGTTCACTGCCATACGTGACCAAAGGACAGGTCCATTTGGTCATCCAGAAGTTGCAAGTCGTGGAATGTGCGCATGTCATGTTGGGTCTTTTGGATCTACTGGAACAAGTCATGTCATCGCAGAATGAGAATTCATATAATAAGTGTATAAATCACTATAACTCACTATTAATGGATTGATGACCCTGAGTATGATTGTGTATGCATATATAATAATATAATTATATATTACATATATATATATATTACATATATATATATATGGATATATATTCCATGTCTGGACCATGGCACATGTCATCGTCATTTTCAACAGTCTTGAGGGACCTTTAACGCCAAGGGACTGTACATGATTGGTCGAACCAACAAAAGAAGTTGCCTGAGATCAGCCATTTTCGGAAACAGATTGATGTTGGACAGCAATGGCAGAGGATCCAAAAGTCCCCGAACGTCCCCAAAAAAAAACATTTCCAAGCACAAACAATCTGATTCAATCTGTACAAAGGGGATTGCACTGGTGATATGACCAAATCACAAAAAAAATATCATCTGGTTACACAATGTTACACATATGTTTCACAAGCCACAAAACACATGCAGTAAAAAATCAAACATGCTCTATTGTTTTCTCGAAATTTGGAACTCCCCAATTCCCACTGTATATCATGCTTAATCATCTTGTTCCATTGGAATATCAAATAAATTGGAGGTGTCTTCCCCAATGTTCAGACAAAACTATGTGCCCCAATGATTGGTGACAGCTAAACTGGCTGGTTAAAGATCACATGTCTGGTTGGTCAAACAGTTCCTAAACCTCACACAAACTGTATGTTTGGCCATTTGTCTGTCTATCTATTTGTCTGTCTATCCATCCATCCATGCATCCATCCATCCATCTGTATATCTGCATATCCATCTATCCATCTGTCTATGTATTATACGTCATGATTTACCATAGCTATGGTGAATCACAATTTTAACAGGTACTAATCATATAATTACATAGGTCATTGTCCATAGATATCTTAAATTACCAGATGGTAAACCTTCATTAAAACCCATTGTTGCTATACCCCTATTAAACCCCATTAAATCCCATTGAACTCAATTAAACTCCCATCAAACCCCAGTCATTCTATGGACGACCCATTCCCCTGGTGTCCCTTGCTCTGAGCCGCTCATAGAGGCTTCGATGGCACTTCCTAGTCAAGAGAAGGAGCCCTGACAGCACACCTTGCCGCGAGAAACGGCGATCTCAGGCGACAAATAGTAAAACACGTTGGAATATCTCATACTATACTACAGTATCTTATCGTATCATAATATATACATATATATATATATAATAATATATACATCATATATACATATGATCTTTGATCATACGTTATCATGATCCTATCGGAACATAATACTACTGTAATACATCCCCATTTTTGGAGAGCCAGCCACGTCTCGTTGCTCCGGTTTTGCCGCGGCACCAAGGCTTGGCAAGGCCAATCGATGCCATGACCGCGCCTGATGAAGAGAAACAATGAGAAACAAGCAACGATGCACATGTTGATTATGTCTCGCAACAAAAAGAAAACAAAGCATATCATAGCATATCCTCTTATTCATCATCTCTCACTTTCAAGCATGATTTGTGATATATCCAATGCATGCATCAGTGCCGTGCCCGTGTTGACATTTGTCGGACTCCCAGCCTTCAAAGAATCCCACAGCCGTAACAGACTCGCACGGCGTTGGAAGGCCAAGATCAAAGCAGACATACTGAGCCTCGCTGAAAGCGAGAACTTAGGATGCATTTGGTAACTTTTGAAAACAGTTGGTTGTTTCGTGGATGTTATTCGTTGTTTCTTGTAGTAAATTGAACTTTTACAGTACTTCTAGCATTCACTGGGATGCTCAATTCTTAGCCATCGAATCTATCTTGCCAAGGAACACCCAGCATTTGAAGGGACCCTACCAAAACCCCAGCATTTGAGTATGGCGCCAAATATCCATTTATATCAAATTTGCTGCACTACGCATTGATGTTTGTGGGCAGTTGGATGCAGCAAGGGGCCCTTTCTCAGCTCCTCATGGCCAGCTGAAATCTTCATCCCTCCATAGTATAGTGACAATGAGACTTTGGGTCAAACTCAAACACGCCTCCACATCGTGAAAATCAAATTACCGTCCCAATAGATAACCGAGATGACGATGATGATAATGATGATTGTCATTATCGTGGTCGTCCTTTTTCTTCCTAGTTAATTACTACTGTTGTCATTGTGAGAACCTCAATAACCCTTAATTAAGCAAGTTATACAAACGTAAGGAGGGCCATGTTATGCCATGTTTGTTTACCTTTTTCTGGGCAAAGTGCCTGATTAAACACTGCGGTTGTTGTCATTTGCAGCCCGGCAGCCCCGAAAGAGCCGCCGCTGAAAAGATCAAACGTCGCAGCAGCTGCTGTGGCGATAAAGGCGCCAAGGCATCGCTAGTGATGGCGATGAGGTAGGTTTTACCTTGAAACATGCGCAACCATCTTCAGGGTGGAGTTGGAATGGCTCATTGTGTAGCCGCACTGACACAACGGGTCCAGCAGTGACCCCATGGATTCATACCCATCAAGCAGCTGAAAATCCTAAATTTCTGAGCATTTTTCTGTCATCCCAACCCCAAATAAACCTGATTGAGTCAACCACCACCCTAATTAAATTATACATTAAACTGTATTTCACCGACTTCCATGACGTTGGAAATATCCTTCACCGAGCATCTCAGATTTTCCATGCGACCACGCAACGCACGGCGTCGCGTGCGGGGCGCGATCTCGCTCATCATGTTGTCCCCTGACCAGGTACCAATTCAACGTGGATCTCTATGGTTCAGGAACTGATAAAATACAAGGGCTTGATTGTCATTAACCAACAGAAATATGTTTGTTATTATACAATATTATATATTATATATATATCCCAACTTAGTATGATCATATTCAACATGGGTTGATCATGGGAAAACTATGAAGATTGGCGGGAAACCCGTGGAACCATGAATTTCTGGAACAGCGATTTCCAACTGCAACAGAGTCGGAAGGGGGAATGTTTACATCTCCCCTCATGTCTACCTTCAAAAACAACAACATTTTGGGTAACCCTGATTCATCAAACAGATTCAAACAGTGTTTGTTGAATTTATGACTGCAGGGTTGACACTTTCAATATCATATATCATACATATCCCCCTTGGAATTTGGTAGCTGTTCTGGGGGGTTAACACCAACCATAATGTAGAGGAAATTCCAAGGGGGATTCATACATCATATATATATACCATCTGGTTATGGCTAACAGTTAGCCATGGAAAATCCACCCATTTTATAGCTAGGTAAACCATCTATTTCTATGGGCCATCTATACCATGGCTACGTTAAATAACCAGAGGGTACCAGTTATACCAACATGAGCCAGTTGCATTCCCACACCTGAGAGGACGTAGGGATGTCGGGCAGAAACCTGACTGCTGCACCGGCTGAAAAACCTGCTATTCCGAAAAACTTCGATCTGTCAAGGTATCCCAAGTTTACTGAAAGTTTCACCTGCTTAAAACATCTTAAAACCAAAAAAACATGACATTCTGAATCCTACAAACATTACACCCATTTTCAAAGCAAATTGCAGTCACCCAGCTGTTTTCCGGCTTTTTTGGTGCTGTTTATGCTCGGTGTTTGAGCGCCAAGACACCAAATTGCTCCAGGTGTTGTGCTCGGCCCACTGCTCCGATTTGAAATTAAACAAGCGCCTAGTCGTAGCCCGCTGGGCCATGTTCAATGGCTATGTTGGATTTTTTAGGGCTACAAGCGGCTACAAGTCTTTCAACGGTGATCATACCGGTTTCATAAACCAAAACCCTAGTAAAACCCACATTGACATGTCCTAATCAAAAGGGTTTCAGATGGGCACTGAAATAATAAACTGAATGAGTCAATTGAATGATTCATCTGGGGGTGAACTATCTCATGAAATGACGACAATGATCATGACAATGATCATGACCATGATCATGACCAAGATGATGAGGACGATGAGGACGATGAGGACGATGAGGACGATGAGGACGATGAGGATGAGGACGATGAGGAGGATGATGGAGAGAGCAAGCAAAAGCAGCCCCCGTGATTTCAGGGTAGGGGGGGTCACCACCACCCCCCCCGGGGAGGTGGTGAACCCCCCCCCCAGCCAGAATCACTGGGGACAGAATTTGGTGCACTATCGGATGATGATGATCATCATTATTATTACTATTATCATTCAAATGATGATTCAGATATATTCAAATGATGATTCAAATAACGATTCAAATGATGATTCAAATGATGATGGTGATCGGCCTGACTAATGGGTACAGTACACCTTATACATCCTTATAATATCCAATACGTATCTGAATTGTGAGGGCTGATCATCTCGCTGTGAGAGGTTGCCCAGAAGCTGGTGTACATGATCAGCTTTCATGGGGTGAAACTTTTCTGGCCCAGTGCCCACAACTGGTCGTTGTTTGTAAACGCTACATTTTTTGAGGTCAATCATTTTGACCCATAGCCTATGGTTTTTATACGGTTACTACTCAGTTTCCATGCCTTTCTGGCTTTGATCATTGGTCAAATGGTATACCACCTTTCTGGAACCACAGAAACTGGCTGGTTTTAGTGGCAGTCATCCAGCTTTGGGCGAATTTCTCAGCAGAATTATATCACATTATATCACCATGTCAGTGGGTTGGTGTGGCGATTTCATGTGATTTCGTTCGTTTCAATCGCAATTCTTAGCATTGAGCTCTATGATGATGTCGGGAACTGTCGAATCTGAACACCAAGAACCCATAGCCACAAAGTCAATCCCTTGGGCTGCCGAAAACCTCCGTTTTAACCCATGGCCAATCTGAGATTCCCCGTGTATATCTCCGTCTCCGTCTACTCGAAAAGTCGGACGGGTCAAAAACATTCAAACACAATGATTTTCCGGGGAGACAAACATATCCAGTAAAAACCAGCAATTGTTACTTGCTATGTGAATGTCACTGATTTTCGAATGACATTTCCAATGTTTTGAGTTTTGACCTGAATAATTTGGGTTCGTAAGCAGTGGAACAATCCTTAATCACACCCCCCCAACATTTCCTACAGCCCAAATGACGCGATGATCGCACCCCCCAAAAAATGCTTACTGGATTGGCATGTCCCAGGTTTTCCATGGTTTTTTCCCTGTTTTTTTTTTTGACGACTTGCCAAGTCAGATGCCAAGTCGCTTGAACACTGAGGGCCAGCGATCTTGTGCTTTGATAATCAGACAGCAGGATGCGACCATGCCATGGGTGAAGGAGCCAGGCTCCACCGTGTGTCTGGTGCAGCCCTCCTGCGAAGCAGTCGATGGGCCGGCCTACGTTCAAGCGAAGGTTGGGTTATATAGTTCACTCCATTACCTAGGGTTTATGGTAATTATTAGTTAATGAATGGAAATTACAATGTAATTATGATAATTATAAACATATATAAAATTAAAATAGATAGTAAACTGGATGCTCATGGGCTTTATAAACCATAAATATAACTGGTCCCCGCCCACCTTGAATATATTGATGCAACTAGCCTGAAAACCGTTGCTCGAGTCAAGATCGCTGCAACTTTGGCGGCGTTTTACATCCTCATGTCCTCATCTATATGCTGGTTGGTGGTTGACCTCTGAAAAATATGACTTCGTCAGTTGTGATGATGAAATTCCCAACTGAATGGAAAAATAACAAATGTTCCAAACCACCAACAAGATATTGTCACTATTGTCATATCACTATTGTCATTATTGTCATATCACTATTGTCATTATCACTATTTACCAATATCATTAATGATAGCATTATATAAATATAGCTATAAATATAGATCTATCAATAGATCTACTAGTCTATTTCATATCATTCATCATATAGCACTATTAAATATAAATATCATTAAATATCTGAATGTGTTTCCGAAACTCTTAGATCTCAGTAGCTCCTTGTTGACTTCAGGATACCCATAGCTCCACGGGATGAGTTCCACTGCACAAGATGAGCCATTTATAAATAGATGGGTAAATGGATGGGTAATTGAATCATCTGTGATTTACAAATATAAATAATGGTGATTTATAAATAATGTTCCAATGTTCCATTCTATAGATGATGTTTATATTTAAGTGATGTTATTTTCACAGATGATTCCATAAATCATGTGACATGTGACTTTCCATCTAACGTGGGTGACCCTGAAACATATGAAAGTCAGATTGGATCATCATCCCAACTATTGGGGAAAATATTTCAGCCATGTTCCAAACCGCCAACCAGATATTGATCCGGGATTTTTCATGGGATATTGCTGGTATATTCACGGGATATTGCTACATCATTAGACATCCAGATCCGTGCGCCATAAACCTCCATGAACCGCGCGCCGCGTACCTGATCCGTGACCTCCACCAGGCCCAGTAAAAATGGCAAGCTGCCTGAGCCGATTCGCAGCGACTGGGCGCCACAAAAAGCACCCCCCCAGGCCAGATTTGCCTCCTAAAAAGGCATGGAAAATGTTGGAAAGATCTGGAAAGATCTGGAAAGATCTGGAAATCTCGGTGATCATCGAACTATCATCCTGGAAACCACTAAAAGAATCTAAAAGAGACTTTTCGGCAACTTTGTGTGGGTGTTGCTATACAAATCTTAAGATATTGGTGGTATTGCCAAGGATTCATGGCTGGATAAATCACTGTACTGTTACAAATCTTCTACAGTATTAATATTCGCGCTAGTAGACGTGTATAACATGGATTTCCTTCAATTTTGTTTCCATTATATATATATATGGGCTAGAATTTCTTATTTCGAATTGGAAGCCTTGGGAAGTGCAAACGGCCCACTTGCAACGTCCTTTTTAAAAGCGCCAATTCGCCCAGTGACATCCTCTTAACGGCGAGCAAACGGCAGACACTGAAGCCACCCAGTCGGATCCTTCGAGATATGATTCGGATCAGTTCACTATAGCCATTTCCAATCATAAAAGGATGATTCATCAGCAGATTTTGGGGTACCCTATTTTTCAGACAAACCCATATCGCAACATGGTGCCATAGAGTTCAAGCATGTTCAATCCATACCCAGGAAAGCATTCAGCATCCTCTTTTAGGGGTCGTTACCCAATGGTGTATCCTCGGTATCATATGGGTGATATGTCTTTGTGTAGGGAGATGAGATTAGTGAAACTGCACTGAAAACCCATGGCACATGTCCTGTGCCAAGGCCCCAGTAGTCTTCAGCAATCATATTGTACAGAGCCACCTTGGAGTTTGTGAAACAAGTGAGGCTTCAATCCAAGAACGCCCCCAACATGGTGATTTTAATGGCGATTCAATGGGATTACCAGCGAATCAAAGGGACGAAACCCTCCTGGCTGGTGCACCAATCCACATGACATCCAAGGACCAATCCATTTCCCATTGATTTTAACATGACGGGATATGACGGGCTACCCCTCTAGCATCCAAGCAGTGATTCTATGATCTCCAACATCTTTTTTGTTGGTTTCAATGGAACAGAACGGAAACCAAGACTAGAAACAAGACCTGCATCTTCATTTTTGTGCAAAATAACTAACTAGCACCATAACACTTCAACATACCAACCCCGTGCCCCGTACTTATAAACAGTCTGTGGTGTACAGTCAATGTCCGCCCGCACGCTCCATCTTACAACTCATGCATTGTCATCCACGTTCCATAAGTTGATATAATCATGAGGCATGGGGATGCAGTCATCAACAAGCGCGACTTTAATCAATAAAACACAGGAATATATACATACAATGATGCGCCCGCCGCGAAAAACTTACAATCATCACTACACTGTAGAAGATTGTAGAAGTAGTTCTGTGCTTTTCATCACGGCCGCCAACCATCCCCAACCCTTTTAAAATCCGCGGCTCAACCCCTTACCGCAGACAAAATTTCGATCGGGCCCATGAGATCATCGAGCTGCTGCGGTGTTGCCACCAAAGCTGTGACCAATCAAATGCACGGGGTTTTGAGCATCCCAGCGTTTCAAGAGCCCTGGCATGATCGGCCAAACGGGCATACCTACCCCAAAATGGATCTTACGAAGAACACATGCTTCACTTGCACAATTTCTGGGTGAAATTACCTGATGATGACCGAATTTGACGAAATTTGCGTACTGTACAGACTGTACCCTTTCGCAACTTTTCATTATACAGTATCATCTCTCAGCTTAAAAAATGATCAAGGGAATATGATCTCGACATATCTCGACATTAAATGATCGTGAAAGACATGACAAGCCCTGATCCCTGTTTCTGTCCTTTGGGACCGAAAAAAAAATTGAGCTGATCCCCACACGTCCGCAGTGTATGACTCTCCATTGGATCCCCATGAAAATTGATGCGGGGTGATTTACCGAGAAATACCGAGATTAACCCAAATCAATTAAAAAAAAAGGTCCATAAATGGTGTCTGAAAATGGTGTCTAAAATAGTAGGGAAACGCCGCCTTCAAATTTGGCAATGCCCCATCATTTTCAGGTACCATATGCCATAGAATCAGTGTCAAATCAGCATGTTTCATTATAACTGGTTGGTGGTTTTAAATGGTTTTAACCCCTCTGAAAAATATGAAAGTCAGTTGGGATGATTATTTCCCAATATATGGAAAAAAATGAAAAAAACTTGTTCCAAACCACCAACCAAATAAAGATTGATGGTTAACTCCGGTTTTTTTCTCCATCTTTTCGCATGATTTTTCCAGGTCCATCACCGGTTTTTTCCATCTCTGCCCTCCTTTGCCGCGGAAGTCCATGCCAAATCGGGCGTGGCAACAATGTCGGGAATGCTCCTCACCTGTTTAGATGGGCCATGGGATTAGAGATTCCTGGTTAAGAAGTGGGTAATAAGCATGGTAGATCATGGTAGTATATTTACTAACTAGTGAATGGGATAATAACCATAGTTAAATGGATTATCATAGTTAGATTATGGGATAAACTAGTTAGTAAATGGATTAGCCAACTATATCCCCATGATAATCCATTTCCTAACTAGTGAACTAACTCCATGGCCCATCTAAGTGGAGTATAGCTCCGGTGTCATCAAACAGTTTGCACTGGAAATTTCCCCTACAGTATTTAGTTCGAGGATGGTCCCATTATACCATAGCAAGTGGAAAATCTACCATTTATGAAGGTGTGATAAAAGTTTATAGCTGGGAAATAAACTATAACTAGAAATGAGAGTTATAGAGGATGGTCCGACGAAAACCTCCATTTATCGATGAACAAATACATATATATATATAGTGATTTGATGGGATATTAATGGGATAAACGGAGGATTCATGGGATTAAAATGGATTCATTGCCTCCAGTAGTCAAAACTGGCAATGAACAATCCACCATTTATGGCAAAATTTATGGTTATAGCTGAGCTTCCCATCAAAACCTCCATGAGGTTCAATGATGTTCCTGTTAAACCCACCATGAATAAAGTGGGGTTTCAATTGCCACGTTTGATTATCGGAGGGTATAGCTCCCTATGCTAAGCAATCAACAGGCTTTCTAGTGGGGATGAGTGATGAATGGGGGGAACCAATATGACCAATTGCCCCATGTAATTTTCAGTATTAAACCATATATTAAACCATATATTAAACCATATTAATTGGTGGTTCAACCATTTATCCATATTTATCCTCAAATCTCCCACTCAGCAAGACAACCTGTGGGTGGAATTGGGGTACGGACGGCGTACCAAACTCTCACTGGATTGGCTTCACGGGAAAATCTACAGGAAACTGGCGCTAATGGTTCCCATGATTTCCCATAAAATATAGGGTGTTCCTCTAAAATTCCCTTTCAATCAATCCTACATGATATTTTGAGTTCCTTATTCTTGTCTGGTACAATCTGAGTCGGACTGAGAGGCAGGCCGTAATCAACTTGCAGACCCATCCTTAGCGGCATCATAGCTCCACATTTTGCCATTTCATGGTTGATTTCGAGTGGACATGGCCATCTGTTGGCTGCAATGTATCACATGTCTGGGGCGCATCTTGTGGCATGTTGATCATGTTGATTGCTTTCAAAGAGAACAACATGTCCTTATTTGGTATTACTCATCCAAATCATCCAAAATTTGATGTATGGTATGATACAAGCGGGATGTTAGATTTGAATCTTCCACCAGATCGAGAATGACCCAATTTTTGCGGTGCTGTACGCCCATGATATCCCATGAACTCCAAAAAATTCAGTGGGTTTCTGTAAAACCATATTGTAAATATATCCACTCTTCAAGTCCTTTGGCAATGGTAAATCGCCCTGAATCTTCTCAAGGATTGCTGGTTGATGCCCCCATTGATGCAGACTTGCTTCTGTGCTCCATGAAAACCCTTACACTCCAGTAGAGTTTAGTACAGAACAAAAATTAAGCCTTATATAAATATCAGAACATGCTTAAAATCACAACCCACTAACCATACAGTGAAAAAGCCATTAACTACCCATCAAATCCAAGTAAGATCTATTTAACATCAAATTAAATCAGTGAACAAATAAAATAGTCATTAATTGAAATTCCTTTAAGTCGATGAAATGGTGGAAACGATCACGAAATTACACTCTCTGTAAAATGCTTGAAATCATTGAAATGATCACTAAGTTACCATTTATACCATATACATACCTATAAATTTCCCCTAAAATCACTGAAATCATTACCAGACGACAATTCGAAATTCTCCCAAAGACCAACAAATCCACGGACCCTTCGCAAAGCTTCAGATGTGCAAAGGCCTCACAGGCTCGGTCATGGTCCGAGCTTGCCGCACCTAATTCCACCTGAATTTCATCAGTGGCTGGGAAGATCGAGCTAAGCGGCTACCCCAGGGTCTACGAAAGGTGACACCAAACAAAATGCTTCAAAAATGGTTGCTTGTCTAAGAGTATCCTGAGAATTTATGCATATGCATAGCAACCCCCGAAAAGAAAACCGTATTTCCAAGATGGCAGTTCAATTATGTGTTCCCCACAATTTTCAGGTGTCCAACATGTTCTTTTGTTTTTTGAGGGGGGAGTACTATACTATATATACGTACATATACCAAACAGAATGGTGATTGGAACATCAATTTCATTGTAATTTAACCAACCAAAAACAGGAGTTAGTTTAACATATGTATATGTAATATAATAAAATACCAGAATTTATAATATAATAATATATATATATGTATTTATACTATAAACAATATGGATTAATTGGTGATTCACCAGCCCATTGACATGGATAATTTACCCATCAAAAAAAAAGGCAAACCTTGGGCTATGGGCCAAAAGCCTGGTTCTAAACATGGTCCCACAGGCATTGACCCGTCCCCGAACGGCAATTGATTCACAGGAAGAATTCATGCTGTCATAAATTGACCACGCGTCCGAAAAGAAGATCATATGCAATCTACACATGCCGTGTGTGTATTACCCCTAAAAACGATAGTTTATATAACCTCATGCTTCCTCTAAAATTTGCCATAAATTCAAGGACACCTACATCCACAGATTTTCTGTGGCGAAGCCTGTTGGAGGCTGCAGGTCAACAAATCAGGCCCGAATCACAAATGTTAGTCCTTTTACTAAACATCCCCTACAGTATTTCTAATCTCAACTCAACAGCTGAATGCCAAAGTCTCCAGAGAATTCTCCCTTCACTCCCAGGCACGGCAACGACGTCTCCTTCAGTCCATTGCTGTCTGATAAAGGTCAGGGGGAAGTAGTCGGGCATCCAACCTGGGGCGCCCATGCGATCATCTTCCGGGCTGGGTCAGCTGGGTCATCGGGGACGCTTGCCCCATTTTACACAGTTTCTTAAGAAATTCATCGGACAAAGTCTTCAAACATTCAACATGGAACTGCCCACTTTCTCGAGAACATCGTGGTTTGCTTGGGCTGCCTGGGAAGAGGTTTGCCCAGACAAGAGGAAATTAAATCCTCATCAAGGGTCCCGGGTGCAACGCAGTCAAAGACTGTTTTTTGTTTCTGATGTGTTCCCTGAACTACCGATGTTTCCACCAAAAATGCAGGTTGGAAGGTAATCTACAATCATCATCTACCAAGCCTCAGTTGACAAATGGCCTAGGTTTTGTTGGCGATCGAAAAAGTGGGATTCACCGCCGTCACCGTCCCACGAACCAACCAGGACTGGGGGTCATTCTACACCATCCCATTCCGAATGGGCTATACCCAATTTCAGAAAACCAAAATTGGGGATGGTAAAATATTATTAAGTATGGGCCATATGGGATTAGTACAAATGGGTAGAGGTATACCCAATACTACCCAATTTCATAAACCTCAAACTTGGAAATTG